GAAGAGCGTAAATTGGATGATTTGGAGATATCAGTTTTTTACTTCAAAAAGCTCATGGAGTTCCCAAACTCTTTCGGCCCGGGACAGACTTGGGGGGGTTCAAATTGGGATTCTACAAAAAAAAAAGGAAACTGGTCTACCTCGATAATTACCAGCCTTGATCATCTCCTCTTTTGAAGCGAAGACAGGAGCCTGAGAGAGGCCGTACTGGATAGCGAGACAGACGGCATGGAAGGTAGGAAAGGAGACGAAGGTGAAGTTCCAGTGGAAGAAGACATTGAGGGGATAGAAGAGTCTGATGGCGACCCGACTGAAGGTGAGATAGATGGTGATGGGCATCAGGGCCGCTCGAAGTAGCTTGGCACTCCTAGAGTTCTCGTAGCAGGGGTTCATGAGGAAGGTTTGAGTGAGCAATGGGATCAGGAAGAGATAGCCAGGTAGCATCCGTTCGAATTCGTTGGTCGCAAACAGCTCCGCGGTTGTCGAGGAGCTCGCCATCTCCTGCACTTGCTGTTTTTTTTTGTTTTCTTTGCCAATCAGTCCGCGATGTTAAAGATAAGCTCGTTATGTCACTCAAATAATAAAGTAGTACTGAATAACCATACAGCAACGAAGGAAGGAGTTGAACTTGATACACGGTATATCGGGTGGAGCTGTGGTTGTCAAATACTTCGTCGTGAGTCCGGGTGACGATCGTACTGAGTTTTGTAAATAAAGAAAAGGGTTAGGATCCAAGGACTGGTGGAGGAGTGAGGAGCTGGGAATTTTGGAGGTGGTACTGCTGAGGAGAGAGAGGACGGCTGTGAAGTAATATAAGCTGCCCATCGGATGGAGGAGATGATCACCAGGCTCCTGACTACATTCCTCCCAATCTGAGAGGACCAGAGATTGTTGGTGTGCATCGATCCATCCATTTTTCTTTCTTTCTTTCTTTCTTTTTTTTTTGGTAGACTGGAGGACCAGAAGAGGGGTGATGTTAGATGAGGCCCATCTTCAGATCCCGACGAGGCTGGACAGTGAAGATGCAGAGTATGTACGCATGAACTCAACTCATGCGGACATGGTCATCGAGATCTTGTGGAAAGGAGAGCCAATAGTATGAATCCACAAATTTACACTGCTGGTACATAGAAGAGACCTCGTCCGAGCAAAAATATAAATAAGAAAAGAAAAGAAGTGTGCCTACATATATGCGGCATAGCTTATCGGAGGAAAAAAAAAGAGGGAGTGATGATACAGCGTGAATGACTTCATGACCGGAGGACTGATACTGCAAACACAAGTCTGCCTTCGGCCCAGTGAGTGACTGCTCAGCTTATCCAGAACTCCCGGCATTTCTCGATCCATCTGGGCCCTCCTCCACTCTGCGTCCTGTCTTGCATGGATTCTACATACATCATCTGACTCAACATTTTCATGGGAGGTTTCCTGATCAAGAAGTCCATTTCGCTCCAGATTCATCAGTACATCTCCTGTCATCCTTTGGGCCAGCGTGCCCCACCGTTCCATACGGAGAACCTGATCAAGTGGCCTATAAAAACTTAAGAGTCCAAAACTGTGGTGGGTGTACATATGTAACTGTAACTCGAAACTATAACCGTCTCGTCATAGATCTTCTTTAGAACTCCTTTCCCGCTTTTTGTTCTTAATAATCACACTAGATTGCAAAGCTGAGTTTATCTCTACCTTGTAAATAATATGTATCCCTTGCTGGAAGTTCCTGAGTTCCAAAGAATAATTTTTCTCGCGTTTTTAATGATCTTATTTTGCCAAGTGCAAAATAAGCTTTTTGTTTTGGAGTGGAGGACTTCCCGTCGCGATTTAGAGCACTTTTTAGACCTCTCTCAGTCTTAAATTAAGAAAGCAATTAAGATTCCAGCTCATGTGAGAGCTATTGCCGGGAGGCTTCAGAAATTTTTTTTTTTTTTTTGATAAAAAATTTAGATCTAGGGGGTGTAAAACAACTTCTGGGAGGGTTGTAGATTGCGCCGCTTCCCGTCGCAATCTACACCCAGATGTATATAGCCAACTTGTTTGGATTACACAACCCTAACCCACCAACTTGGAATCATGAGACTTGGGCAAGTGGTATAAAAGAGGTTTCAAAAAATGATTTTGAAAACAAAAATATGGAAAACTGATTTTTAAAATTTGCAAAAAATTTTACAATGATTGCACTTTTTTCAAAAGTCTCAATATTGCTCCAAATGAAAAAAATAAAAGTTGGAACTTGGAGTATGGTATGCTGCAGAAATGATAATAAATGAAAATTATGATAAAATAACTACCAGATGGTTTTAAACTGGTGTGGAGGGAGACATTCATCAGTCTCACAGTGGAAAAGACAGTGGAGGCAGTGCTATCAAATTCAACTTGTGTTTTGAGCTGGATACTGAGGTCCAAATAATTTCTGGTGTTGATTTTTTTGTTTATTATCATTCTTCTTGCATACCATACCACTCTTTTTTCAAATTTTTATTTTTTCATTTGCAGCATTATTTAAGACTTTTGAAAAAAGTGCAATAATTGTAATATTTTTTGACCATTTTGAAAATTGGTTTTTCATACTTTTGTTTTCAGAATCATTTTTTGAAACCTCTTTTATACCACTTGCTCAAGTCTCATGATTGCAAGTTGGTGGGTTAGGGTTGTGCAATCCAAACAAATTGGCTATATACATCTGGGAGGGCACTGTACATGGGACTCAAGATGCGAGTGGGCCGGGTTCGGGCCAAAAAAACAGTGCCCAAACCCGCCCCACACAATATCCCGGGTCAGAAGTAAGACCACACCCGACCCAATCTTAATAGTGGCGGGTCCGGGTCGGGTCATAGCCAGTGAAAGATTTTTGGAAACTGAAGTGATTAATTTCTTGTAAGTTAAAGTGATCTTTTTAACAAATATAACAAGTTGTTTGATATAAATAAAAATAATGAGAAGATTTATTCTTTACCTGAAGGCAGAATAAATCTAGACTGAATGTAGTGATACCTTACCCTTATAAACCAAGCCCCTGAGATATATAAGGTCAACAACTTTATTTAATGAGTCGAAATGAAGAAATTTCAAGAAACAAAAAAAAAAAGGATTATTATTCTTGGTTTGATTTGATTACTTTTAATTCACCTGAGGACGGGTGTGTAAAGAAACAGAAACAGGAAAAAGAAGAATATATTTGGAATCTGGATGGAGCCCAAAATAACGGGTTGTGAATTCTTTTGCTGTGAAAGAACTATTTTCACCACTCTCTTGAGAGATGATCAACTGAACTGCAAACTTTTCAATTGATGATCTGGATGATTCATATAGTGTTCTATTCTTAAAACTCTGGATTATGCTGATCTTAATTCTCATTTGGGTGAATAAAATAGTGTACAAGATTTGAACCTATGAGACAGAGAGATTTTCTTGCACGAAGTGCGGATTGTGGTTGGAGTTCCAAAGGTACACAAATTGAGAAAGCAAATCGATGTCGGGTGTTTTGAAATTCAAGACCGTATCAATGTCTTTATGAGCAGGGTTGGGATGCGAGAGCATCGAGGAAAGCATTTCAAGTAACAGGAATTGGGTGTCTGAAAACCAATCGAGCGGGTTATCCTTTAGTTGGAGAACCCTCCCTAAGATCGGATAGTGCGCTTGGGGTCGGAAGAGCTCAGCAAGAATAAAATTCATCAGCTCTTCGGTCTCCATAACAATCTTATCTTCCCGTTTCTCGGCTCTGGCTCCCTGGAGGTTTACATGGCAAATGGCGTTGATTAATCGCCAAATAATCAGCCCGAGTGGCTTGGGTTTAGGCAGTCTCATGTTGGAGGAAAACAACCAATTCAGGTACAGATGTCCATCGGTCTCACTGTGATGATGGACCATCATCAGACCGGTATGTCCTAGTGTTGTAATCGTCGTTCCTTTCCATGGTGGTGACTCTTTCCACTTCGTTGCCCAATTGCTTAAGAGTGTCCACGATCGTGGAGCTCTTCAAATTCATAATGTCGCCCATTTGATGTGTTCTGATGATTCGACAGATTTTTGTCGATCCTGTGCCAGAAGATGCGGGTCATAGTTGACGAGATGATGATCTGGATGATCAGTCGGGGGCTGATCGACCCGATACAAAACGATCAGATGGGCTGTTCGGGCTAACATAATGTCTTTCTTGATCAAGAGATTCTGGGCTACGGAAATCTATGTCGTTTCTTGGTGAGGGGGAATGGACTTTTATAACGGGAAAACGTTGGACACAGGTGAAAGAGGTTATCGTCATTTTTTGAGTGATGAAGAACTGCTGACTTGGATGAAAAAAACTGACTTGATCTTAACATGTGAATCAACTCACTTGGCTCGCTTGAACCCCAATTGGCTGTCTGTCTATTCAGGTCTTCTGGGTGGCCGCTTTCGCCATGCTGGCCCGGGTTGTAGAGATGACTCTCAAATGAATTAAAGGTTTGTGTGTGTGGACTGACCGCATTGACGTGATGCGTGAGATCATAATGTGGGTATAGATTGGCCATGTCTGGAGACTTCGGTAATGGCGAACCAGTTTGGGTGTGGGGAATAACCACATCGGCGGAAAACGGCGGAAAGCTTTGTGGGCTAAGTTGGTCATGGATTGTTGACATTACCGGTGGGATTGAATGCCCGGAATTCGATTCAAAAGGAGGTTCCAGTTCCAGCGGATTGGGATGCCCGTACTCCGATAGCATGGGATTTCCGTGTTCCGAGCGAAGGGAATATCCGACTTCTGGTGAAAGATGATGGCTAACTTCAGATGGAAAATGATGTTCAACTTGCGATGGAATGTGATATGAAGATTCAGATTGATGTCCTAACTCATTAAAGATGTCATTTTGCCATGAATCAATTGCGCTTGGGTTGTGATAGCTGTTGAAGTGCAAAGAATGGGGTTCTTCGACAGGGGAGTGGTAAGGGTGGTCCAGCGGTTGCCAGTTGATCTGGGGTGGCAGAGGCGCCAGAAGATCGTCTTGATTATCTGCCAGGTGAGCTGAAGGGCCTGTATGCCCATATGCCATTGAAGGCTCTGATGGGCTTACTGACGCGCTTAAACCATGAGCTTGTAGTTGATTGTGATCAAGAAGCTGCTGATAGCCATTGTCATTTAAATAGTGTGAATTGTCGAAATTTAAATGGTTTGGTGGCGGATCGGAGACATGCGCTATTTCTATGGGGGTGGGTGTGTCCTTGGTCAGTTTGCAGGAAAGCTTTCATCAGGAAATGAATGTACGAAGTGCTAGTAGGACTGGGCATAAACAAAACGTTTCCCTGCTCCACCTCACACGAGGAAATGGCGAGAAGAGACTCAAGTCCAATTCGGTATAAATCTGCCATGCTGATGTGAATTTTTTGCTGGAGCGATAACGCGTTGGAACAGAAGCTCACCGTGATCATCGAAGGTTTGCCGGGCAAGCGAGGAGTGGTAATGGTGTTCATTCACATCTCCCATGTGCGCCTCATTCAAGTATCTGTTCTCAAAGCCTGCAAAAGAACAGCTCAGGTTAGACTGTGTGGTGGATCTCCTTCCTAAATTACAAATGTGCGGCCCGAAGAGACCGCTAACTCTAAGATACCGGAGAACAAGAATAAGACTTACCTGCTCCGGAAGCATGGATTTGCTGCCCGAGGTGCGAATTATCAGCTCCCTGAAAGGAACTCTCCTGCTGATGAAAAGCTTCCGAATCTCCTGGCTGACTTATGAGCGTATGCAGTTGTTGTAGATCTAAGTCTTCCCAGATTGCCGAGTTGAATTGTAGGCGACTGGTCAAAGGCTCCGACTGGTGTGGTGTGTCAGGCACTGTCCCGGCTGCCAAGGAAAGAAAGACATGGCCGGTTGGTTTTGTTAGGAACCGAAAGTGTCTCTGGAAAAGTGAAGCAAAAAAAAGTGAAGACATTGCGAATTGGGTTGCACAAAATGCGAATGCCTATTCTTACCCAACAAATCATGGGCCTGGTTGGTTGCGCCGTAATCATTTCTAGGCTGATGATAAACCTCACCGTATCCGATTGGATTGAGCCTAGCTGCTTTTGATAACCTTTCATCTTCGTCCAAGGCTGGCCTCGCGTGAGCCAACGGTGCGAAAGCTGTTGGTGCCAGGGATATATCATGGATGGTATTGGGAGGCGTCCATAGGCTTGGCCTGGCACTGGCCGTTCGGGAAAGGTATTTGACCAAGGAAAAAGCCAACAAGCAACACCTAATATTAAGCATTCTGCAGGCTGGACCACAACGTCGGATCAAAATGGATGCAACGGAAGACTGAAGTTAGTTTGAGACGAACAACGTTCAGCTACGTATCAAAGGTGGCTTGAAATTTGCTGGTTGTAGGCTTGGCTTAGGCCAGGTGTGGACTACTGGGAAGGTAGGGCTACTACATCACAAGTATTTACCCGGCGCACTCGTAGTTTCACTTGTGATGATACTAGTGTGATGCTAGTGGTGGGCTGGCTTTGAGACGAGTTTCCATCGAATTTGACTACCCCCGTAAAATTTCATCCATTTGTGTCAGGAAATCGAAGATTTGAACTACCCACATACACATATCTTGAACTGGCAAAACCCAGCCAAACCTACCTTAACAAACTCCCTCACGTTTATAAGGGAGTGGTGAGACACAGGTTGTAGTGCATAGATGGACTTCAGTCAAGCTTAGATTGTTATGTAGCATTTTTGTTCACTGATTTATCATCAAAGTCTCAGATATGACGGTCAACAAATAACAATCAAAAGGAAAAAGAAAAGTCGAGTTATTCAAGCATCACATAACGAGACAAAAAAAGGAAGGGTAAAACAGACAACATATCAAGAAAAAAAAAAGATAGACAATGGGAAGGATGATATTTTTTGGGAGAAAAAAAAACGAGGTATAGGCATAAGATGTAGATAGGTATTTTTTTAAAAGGGTTTGATGGTTTATTTGTTTACTTATATAGAGAGGTTTAAAAGTACATAAATATATCAAGAAATGAAGATCAAGAACACTCAAGAACGAGGGAAAGGAATCGATTGAGGACGACAGAGACAAGGTTGGACTAATCGACCAAGAGATCGGAGGCAGCAGTACGATGACCAGAAGGGGCAACAGCAGCAGCAGGAGGAGGAGGACGATGAACAAGATGAGTGTTAGGATGGAAGGGGACGGGATCGAAGAGGACGAGAGCCTGAAGATATGGGTTCAGGAACTGAACCGGATCGATTTCCTCCAACTCGGAGAGGTAAGGGTTCGGTGTTGATACGCTGGTGGAAGTGGTTGTCGAGGGGGGAGAAGAGGGCTCAGAGGAGCGGCCCGGACGGACCTCGTGGTCCGTACACTCATCCGGCGAATCAAGATCGATCAGCAGCTCCACAGACGAGTCTGGTGGGCTGCTTGGTGTCGTTACCGATGCTGGCGTCGCCGGCGCAACAACCTCTTTCCCGTTCCTTAGAATCCCCACCAATCGGCCTCCACACCCACATCTTTGACGTTCTGGCTTGATCGAATCCGAATGTCTCCCAAATCTGTCGGTGTATCCCAGAAAAAATTAAGTCAGCCCCTCGAGGATAAATATGAAAAAAGAGCGAGGTCAGGTCATCAGGGTGCTTGAAACACTGACACTCTGTTGCATCCTGATCGATCACACGCCCATTTGAATTTATAACTGATTTCGTAGCTGTGTCTCGTAGTCACCACAATGTCTGGTATGGACTTATTGACCTTGCGACCCCAAGCTTGAAAGAATCGACCATGGTTTTCTCTCTGCAAAAAAAGACAGGCGGGTGATAATGATGAGATGTTGTCAGAAGTGGTGTCAAAAAAAAAAAAGAAAAGCAGACAGACCATTTTATGGTCGATGAACCAACAAGCGACATGGCAGAGTTCATGGGCAAGAGTGCTCCTGAGTTTGTGGATATCGTCAACGACCTTGGAGGCCAACTCGACCCTAGCGCGGGGGACGCGGTTGCCGAGAGCATCTGTCACGTGGACGTAATGAGCTCTGCCGGCGGTAGTATTCAAGCGTTTGCTCCAGAACAGCTCGATGGGCGGCAGCTTGCGGCCGAAGACCTTCCTGTTCAGCTCGACCAGCAACTCCTCGGCCATCTCTTCTCGGACTTCGACAAACGGAAGTGACGCCAGGTCTTTCTTCAGTGGCGTCTTGGCGGTTGACTTTGTTGGCTTTTTCGTCGGAGTACCTCGGCTCTTGGATGTCCCTCCTCCTTCTCCTGCCTTGGCCTTCGGTTTGTCGCTCTCGGTCGCTGGGACTGGTTTCGGGGAAGACTTGGGACGATTCTCTTTTACTTTGATTTGGATTTCTTCTTCGCCGCTCGAGCTTTCATCACTGCCCATGACCTGGCGTCTTCTGTTTCCTGGAATCGGTTTTGGAGAAGACGTGGGACAAGTATCTTTAGATTTGATTTGGATTTGGTCATCGCCACTCTCATCGCTGCTGATGACCTGAGGTCTCCTGTTTGCAGGGATCGGTTTGGGGGAAGGCTTGGTACGATTATCAATGGACTTGATTTGGATTTCTTCTTTATCGTCATCGCTACTGATGACCTGGAGTCTTCTGTTTCCTGGAATCGGCTTTGGAGAAGACTCAGAAGGGTTATCTTCCTGTTTGAGTTGGATATCATCTTCACCACTTGAACTTTCATCACTACTTATCACCAAACGCCGATTGGTTTGGAGGGCGATTGCATCTGTATTTTGACGGCTTTTTTGTGATATCGATCCATTTAAAGGATCGCAACTATTTGTTTTGTGGAAAAGGCGTACACACAAAACAAGATTAGCATCCTATCTACTTTCTAGACAAATGATGAAAGTCTCTTTCTGACCTGGTTGAATAGCTACCCGTCGTGAGCGCCTGTGAGCGAAGTTTTTGGAATTGAAGGGCTCGAGAAGGGTTGATCCTGTTTATAAAATTATAAAATTGACGGTTAAAGAACGGGTTATAAGGAGTGGAGACAAGTGGGATGAACTGGGGACATACTCGATCGAATCATCACTCTCGACATCGATGATTTCGTTGACAGCTGAAGATTTTTGCTGGCTGTGACTGGCTCTTATAGAGCTTTTACGTTGGCTACGACGAGGCGGCGGGGCCTTGTTGGTAGAGGATCTAGGGGACTTTGATGAGGAGAATGAGGTCGAGCGGAGAGACCGGCTATCCTCATTAGCTTCTCCTTCTCCTTCTCCTTCTTCTTCTTCTTCACTGTCTGCAATCACTCGTTTGGGTTTCATCCCAGCTCGGGTACGCGTTGCCGGTCTGACGGGGTTGATGATGATTGAATCTTCTTGTGCTAGCTCTTCTGTTTTGGGCTGAACTACTAAGATGTTGGCGTCAAACGAATCACTAGAGCAATCCGAATGGTGATCGGCTGGTTGGGCTTGATCTGCCAGACATGAATCAGAGCCGTGACAGTCCATACTGGGGATAGATGTTTTGGGAATCTTTTGATGATGATTATCCTCCTGGTCAGATGGGATATCTTGAGTGGTCAAACGACGAGCCTTGGTTGTGATTTTGGATCGACTGGTGGTTGATTTCTTGGTGGGATTCGAGCGAATCTTGGGTATCGATTGCGGTACTGGTTTCTTAGGTTCGAATGGGCTCTTGCTGGCTCGAGATCGATCGAGGATATCGAGGTCGTCGAGTAGGAGCTCGATGGGTGGTTTGGGTGATTTGGTGGGACTGCTGGCTCTCTTGGAGACGACAGATGACCGACGGGGTCCGATCGAGCGCCTCGTTGGTGGTTTGTAGTCGGCGAGTGCTTTTGGGTCTGGTGTGGGTTTGCTGGGTATGCCAAGATTGAGGACGAACTGGATGTGTATGATTTTTGAGTATGTGGAGAGAGTATTATTAGTATAGTAAGGAGACTGACGTGTTCGGTGAGGTTATTGTCCGCCTGGAGGATTGGTTTCTTGGGGTTGAACTTCTTGGCACTGTTCTCGGCTCGTTGTCTTAGTCTTGACTTGGGTTTGTCTGGGGACATGAAGATGTCTAGGATCTCATCCTGTTGCTCTGAGCTGGCAGCTGCTGCTGGTGGTGGTGGTGGTCTGGGTGTTGTTGGTAGTGATCGTGCATGGGCTGATGAGCTGATCTGCTGGAGTGCTCTGGAGGCAGCGACTGCTATCCTGTCTGATTCCTCCATGTGTATTTATGTTCTTCGTTCGTCGTTTGTTGTTTGGTTTTTTGATGCAGTTCAGTTGTAGTTTCTCTTGAGATGTCTCTTGTGTGCTGGGGCTTGTTGGTTGGCTTGAGAAAATGCTTGATTAGTCTCCTCCTCAACTCTCCCAGTCGGGCCAGATACACACTGCATAGGACTCAGCCAAGCTTACATATTTCCAAAGACCACTTCAAAACAGCACCGATTGGTACACTGACTGAACTATTTGTACTCGGCAAGTATTTATAAATCAAAAGAACAAACATTGGTCGGAATCGCGTACATAAACAAAAAGACACGTGAGGCTGTGGAGCTTGCTCTCCCAATCGATCAAAATCAATTCGACCATCATCGATGGGTCATAGCCACCGCCTTGACACTAAAATTGCAAATAGGAATGTGTACAAAGCAGACATGGACATCTTACTCTTTCACAAAAAAAAAACGTAAAGGAAACTTGATCTGAATCTGAAACAGCCGGGAATCTATCCAAATAAGAGTCTAACTACAACAAATAACAACATCAATCAAAACTGGATACTATACAAATTTGAACTTCCGACAATTGCACTTGGGTAGCAATATAAATAATAATGATGAGCATGATGAGAAGAAGAAAATGTAGAATGATAGATCAGAGAAATCTCTAATTTAATACAAGCTGGAACGTAGAAGAACAATCGAGACACTCAGAGTGGTCTGGGATAACTGATAGATGTAAAGAGAAAAGTTGCTTGGGTGATAGGAGATAAAGAGATATTGCGGCTGTCCTTGAGTGCAGTGTCTAAAGAGAGAGGAAGAAAGATCTAAAGGAATCTCAAAGGCCTTCTGTGGATGATCTGAGGATAGGTGCAGATTCACCATCGTCATCACCATCGTGCTCATGAGTCCTTCTAAAGTTCGAGTTCGATTTGGATTGCGAGATAAATTCAGGGCGTCTGAAGCCGAGTGAGATCGATAGTGATAACGAGAGCAGCGCGCCACAGATAGTGATGAGGAACGCGGCCTGATAACAGCCTCGGCGGTCAAGACAGACCAAATGACGATCCTCTGCGTCCGAGGAATGCTGAGAATGATGGTCGAAGATCCTCCCAAAGCTCAGATTAAAGATCTGTCCACAGAGTAATGGGGCCAGATTCAGGAATCCAAAGTTGGTCGCAAAGTGTTTGAGGCCGAACCACTCGAGCACCAATGCGGGCCCGGCACCGTACATGTTCCCATACGCAAATCCGACCAGACCGCCCAGCCATACCACGTGATCCAGCTCGGAGACCGCAAAGTATCCTAAGATTTGACTCAGCAGGAACAGGCTCGAGATCCAGCACAACCACCATACACGCCCAATCGAGAGTCCACGCTTCAATAGATCCGAAAACGTCCCCGCAAAGATTCGGCCAAAACAGTTGAAGATCGATAAGATCGAGACGGCATGTGCTTGGTATAATCTGACGGTCTGATCTGAGCTATCCGGTGATGTGGGTCCATAAATAGCAACCAACATCGTACCTCTGCACAAACAAACCCCTTTGCTCAGTCATTGTGACCAATAAAAGCTGGTGGGAAGAGCTAGCCAGAAAAAAAAATACTACTAACAGGTTATTGATGATCATCAGACCAATACCACAGCAGCAACTCATGACGAGCCAAATCATCCAAAAGTCCAGCTCTCGGACCAAGGCCCAGCCGGTGATATCAGTCTGTTTCTTGAGCGGTAAGAGCTGAGTATCTTCGGTAGATTGGCGAGAATGGGATGTGCATGGTTGGTCTTGGGAGGAGGGGGAGGTCTGACGATCATCACAGCCGATGCCCATGAGCACGTAACCAGATGCGCCGAGAAGGATGGCCAAAGAGGGGCCGATGCTCAAGAGGGCCAGCAAGACGGCAGTGTCGGACTTTGCGATATGATAGCCGATGGTCGTCCAGAAGAAGGCAGAGAGGCCGAATCCGGCCAGGACGGTGCCAATGGCCGTGGCTCGATGGGAGGGCGCAAAGACGGATGCGGTGCCGGTGATGGCACAGCTGTTGGCGATCGAAGAGCCCAGGCCGGCGAACAGGTTTCCCATCAAGGTTTGGACGACCACCAACGGTAGACTCGGCTGGGTGAACAAGAGCCAGAGTAAGCCGTAGCCCAACGAGATCAACGTCCCGGCTCCTAGTAAGGGTATCGTCGGGCCATATCGATCGATGTATCGGCCCACGAAGGGCGACGAGATGTACATGCCCAGGTTGCCCGCCAGACCAATCACGTTCAGCGAGGTGGCCGAGAGATGGAGCTTGTGTCCAAGTTGGACCGAATAAATCGAAAATGCATCTAACAATGTTTAAACAATCCTCGCGACCATCATCAGCACAGATATCCTAGTATGACAATAGGATCCAATCAACTCACAATTAGTTCCGGCGCTCAATGAAATCGAAACACTGGAGAGGAGGGTGATAAGCTGTCGCGTCCTGGGATGTTCGTCTAACATTTGAGCCTGGCAAGTTTATCGAATTTCATGGGGTTGGCTGCTCTTTAAAATAAAAGAACTGCCAGCTGAAAGGAGCGCGCTTATGTCACAGCACCTTTCACTCGTGAGCTCAACCATGTGACACTCCTGATTGTTGTGAGTTTCCCTAGCGTCAAATTTGCTCCCCAATGCAATTATGTAATTGGTTGACTGTAAAAGTGCGTTAGTCCTTGAAGGCTCGACAGGAAATGCGGTAATTAGGATTTCCAGTCACACCAAGCGGCAAGCTCAGCGTACCGAAGCCAAGACTAAACTTCGTCGAGCTTGACCAGACGCAAGAATCTTTTATTTGATGGTCTGAGCTTTTGATCAGTTGGTACCGTAGACAAGACTTCCCCCCACCGGAGCACTTTTTTTACTAATCTGGGGACATTTCACAAGGTGAGACACCACAAGTACAGGGATAAGGTGCCTTAAATTCATAAATAGAAAACTAGCATCAGACATTTTTTTTTTGTTTCTCAGGCACTTTCCTGGTCCAACCTGCAGTAGCCCTTTGGCAGTGCGACTCACAGCGATTCGAAGTTCACTGAATCGTAGGGGCTTTTTTTGACTGGTGCTCCCCTAAACCACCTTGCGCCGTTCGAAATTTTCTTCTCTTCCACATTGTACTTACTCACAATCGTGAACCCCCAATTTTAACCCTTACTTTCCCCCATCCACTTCTTTTCCAGATTGAGGCAGTCCTACTTTGAAGTAGTCTCAAGGATTTCCCCAAATTTGCCTTTTGTCTCATAGAAAATGTTCTACCAACTTATGTTTGTTGGCTTGTGCGCTGTTCCAGCTATCATCCTGTCAACTGCTGGAAGTCCATTGGCTGAAGATTTTCCCAAGTGTAATCCAGGTGGTCTAGGCTATGATGGTAAATGATTTTATGAAAAGAACTTATATCTTCCCAGGAAACATATTTTTGCCTATTGAATGCTGATTCTCCCTGGAATAATTAACAGGAAAATTCCCTGTCCCTGAAATTGAAGTCACAGACCATCATACTTCAGTAAACACATTTTGGAAACCATCTTCAGGCAAAATATTAGAGTCAGGTCCAGTTTTTCAAAGAGGCAATGATGACAATTTATCAATCAAGCCCACGGTTTTTCCTGCTTCAATAGATGATTTTATATCTGATTGTGAAAAAGGTCAGTCAAATGACACCAAATTCAAATTTCCAAGAACTGACACTGATGATAGTTCCTCTTTCAGAACTCAGTCAAAGTGAATCTTGGAAAGCTACCAAAGGTCAGTCCCATTTTTGCATGTGGTATTCTCATATGGATTACCAGAGTAGTTAAGAAATATGTTCTTTGGCACGATAGAAGAATTTATTCACTTTAATGGTGAATCAAAAGTTGTGGAAAGGCATGCCATAGAGATATTTGATAATCTTAAAGCTAACAAAATTAATCCAAAGGAACTATCCGATCAACACTTCAAGGATTATGAATCAATTGCCAATTTCCAAACCAAAATAGATGTCTTGAAAATGTTGAAGCTTAGGAAAGTAGCATTGGTCAATATCAAACTGAAAAACTCCAAACTTGATGCACTATTTTCAAAGAAAGACTTCTTGGTTCAGCTACCTGACTGTCCCAAATGGATTTCACCCAAAATAATTTCATTGAATGGAGATGAAACTTTGCAAGGATTTGTGGACTCTCTTGTTGATGAAATCAAAGAAATTATACTGGATTGTGAATCTGAAGTTTCCGGGTTCAAAGATAAAGGCAAGGATTATGAACTTGAGAAAGAGAGGTCCATTTTTCCTTACCTTTGGATATTAATTGATTTCTTGTTCAAAAATCACTTCATAAATCAAGAAACTGTAAGAAGTATCTTTCAAAAGGAGGAAACTCGTTGGCTACTCAGTCATTACAATATTGCTTTTCTGGGAAAACATGTGATAAAAAACTTTCACATTGGAAAAGTAAACCCCACTAAGCATTGGTTCTGGACACTAAGGTATCACTTTCTTAGTGGTAAGTCAAACTTATTTCAAATTTTGATTTCTGAATAATTTTTATTTTAAAAGAGATTATTAGTGACTTTTAACTTTACATGAAAAAACACCAATCTAGCCTTTGGTGAAGAATATGATTCAAAGATGGATTTTGATTTCTTGATTGAAGATTTGTTCCTGGAAGGTAAAACATTGGGACTCTGGGAAACACAAAATAAAATATGGAATCAGTTCTCTGCATTATTTTCAAAAGAAAGGTACAATAATCTGCTGGGAAATCTAAATCCAACAGGAGAGGTTTCAATTAACTTGGATTTCAAGATCAATGAAATAAAACCAAACTTAAAAATCCCTCAAGAATACATAACTGATGTCAGAAACCTGATCAATCTTCTAAAGGAAGCAATAAATAGGAGATCATATTTACTTCAAAGAGATGTTTGTGAAGTATTGGACTTGGTTGAAAATAAAATTTACCCAGGGATAGTGAGAAAATCTTTTTATGAATTAGAAGAAGAATCTATTTCTTCTTCATCCATGTTCTACAAATTATCACACATTTTCAAGAAAAAAACTGGGCACTTAGAAAGAAAACTGAAGGAATTTGAAGATCTAATAAAAGTAATATTATTAAAATCAAGGCTTTCCAACTTTAAATACATCAAGAAGGCGTTCAAAGAATTTGATCAAATTCAAAGCTTGCCAAATTATTCCCTAATTCCAAGAAGCAAAATGATTTCTTTTGAATCTGACTGGGCAATATTTCACAGTTTTTCCAGTAAAAAAGATGATGATTATTGTCAAAACTTGGAAAAATTTGGCTTGTATTTTGATCAGATTTATGATGTAAGAAAAATTAAACATGATCTGGAAAAAACAACTTTATATAATTAGGCTAGATCAAAGGGGTGAATTCAAACCACAATTCCCCCCTCAAATTCCTTGAAGAGAAAGGGGTTTTTGTGCTCCCAGAGAATTACTATAGACATAGTTCTTGCTACTCATTTTTGATATTACTTTCATTCACCTTCATTCCAAAAACTCATCAGACTGGGAAATTTTACTATTGGATTATGGATACTCTGCAATTTTCATAAAAATCGATCAAATGCTTTTCCATGTATTCCACATGCTTTGGAATGATTTTTCTTTTATTTTTGATGCAAATTGACCAAAACTGATTTCTGATCTAGCTTTTTAGAAAATAAGAGCCTTAGAATCTATCTTCCATCTGAAGAGACAATATATCAGCCCTTGACAACATCTGATCTTCAGTTGTATGTCATTCATCCCATATGGGCACATGTAGAATAAATAAAGGGTCAAATCCTTTTCACCAAGCTTGAGCTTCATTGGACCCCTCCTTGAGATGATTTATAGTTCCTTATTTCATCAAATCTCTTCAATTTTCATTTTCACAAGCCACAAGATTTGGCTTAGCAGGGAAATCCTGAGAATGTAGATTTTGAATAGCCGTCTGAATTTCCACCTGAATCCTTGTGGGAAAAAGGTTTGTTGGTGAATAAATCCAAAGGATGAATTGAGAAACAATCCTGATACATTTTCTGAAATTTTTCAACTAAATTCTTCTATTCCAAACAGAATGAAATTAAAAACTCCATTTGATACCCACAGCTAGGCACCTTGCACCTCCTGACAGGGGAATAGCTCTAGACAACCTGTAGAGACTTTCAGAGACCGTTCAGGTTGTGGGTGAAGGGCCTGGTTAGAAACCTCATCTGCAGAGGAAAGCTACCAGGGCAGAAAGTAATGCCTTGCAGTCTCTGGTGCAGTACTTGGTACCTCTTTTGGGTGAAAAACGGACTGGTACCCAAGTCCAAATGCACCCTCTCTAAATAAAATTGGGAAATTATATTTTGTTTGGAACCAATCAAGGGCGGCCAGAGTTGGGCAATATTCAAAGAGCTGGCTGGCCCAGCTGACTAGACTCACAAATTTGACCACACAGGTAAAGTCCTTGTTGTGGGATGGCCTTTATCTGGCTGAAATGTGTCCACTTTATAGGTTGTGGTTTCAATACTCTTTTCCCCCATTCCCCTAAAAGTATGTGTGCCCTCCGGGTTCTCATCATGTTGAGTTACCAAAAAGGTAAAGTGTCAGCCACAGGGTACATGTCACAGTACCTTTCACGTACCAAGTAACTGCTACACCTGTACTTACTTACATAAGTACATATCCATAAAGTTGTTTACCTTTACTTCTTGTTATCTTATCATTATTATTATCTTATCTTATTTATTTTATATTTACCTTATCTGTTAATTAGTTATCTATTTTATACATAATTGTTTTATACCTAAGTAATTACCTCTTACCTTTCACTCCTTTATCCGTGAAATACCTGTACCACAAGCCATCCCTGCTCTACAGTATTTTCACGGACAAATATCTTTATAAATAAATATGTACATACTCTGAATGTTAATTATCAATTGATCATTGAATGAATGCAATCAGTACATGTACTGTCATTAATAATTACTTCATTATTTAATGTGTGATCTTAATAATGACTTCATTGTTAATCATTCTTGTTGCCAAAGTCATCACGGACAAGAATCATTACAAATAAAATGTACATGTATTGTTTGTATATTATTGTTTAACAATTGAAGTAATACAATCAATACATGCACTGATCCTTATTTGTTATTTTAATTGAAGGGTCTGTTAACTGTACACGTCACAAATAATACTTACTGATCCTCTAGCAAATAGTATGACAGCTCTAACAGATCATTACAAATAAAGATCAGTTACTCAATTAACCCTGCTCTTCCTCTTGGTACTTGTTAGAATAGTCACATATGCTTACATACATATGCAATATGCTTCTACTATAGTTGTACTTACGGCGGTGTATTTAGTTCGACCCACGCTTAGTTCCCAGCCTGGTTCCTCACTGAATAAATACCACCATCTTCATTGTGTCACCAAACTGTCACAAGACTTTTGTCTGTGACTTCAGTCCTGCGACCCTGTGCCCCTCAACAGGTTATGATCCCTAGTCGCTTCAGCTCCCAACATCTCTCATCTACTCGATATATCGTCAACCTAAATCCTACACGATGCCATACAGGACAACTCAGAACCCCTCGCCACTCATACCGTCGGTCCCTCAATTGGATGGAAACTCGGTAACGTTCACATCTTGGAGGTCCCGACTCGAAGACGTTCTTGCGATCCAGGGGGTGCTGGATATCGTCCAAGGGAAGATCCCTCGTCCGCTGTGGAACTTTTCAAGCTAAAGAAAAGAGCTTAGAGGGGAAAAGAACAACTACACAGGGGAGAATGTGAGTTGAAGACTTGGATGCTGATGAAGGTGCCATCTTGTCAAGGCTTGGGAGAGAGTTACACTAAGAATTAAAGAAAAGGTGTGGCTATTTCTGTGGGTAATCTTAGTATGAGGTTTATTACTGATGTCTTGTACAAGGCACCTGTGAGATTGTGAGGATGTGGGGGGGGGATTTTGGTAAGGATGAGGCTCTGGGGATAATGGTTTCTGGGTTCAATTTCTTATCTTCTGGGGGAAAATCAATAATAATTACTTCTGGTAACTACTAGTAAGTGATGTCTGCTAAGTAATTATCTGTTTACTTCTCTAATGCAAGCATGGGGAACAAAGTAAGTGGGAAAGGGTATTCTCTATATACATGTGGGTGGTTCTGATCAGATACTAGTGGTAAGATATCAGCTGATGTAAGAAGATGGTATGAAATAAGTTGTATCTGAAAGACAATTGGTTATGAAATAAATGTGGCTGACAAATGTGTAGTGTGAAATAAACATGTTGAAAAGGAGAAAATATGAAGTAACTTCTGTTTGTGATAAAAATAATATGTAGTGCAAAAAGAAATGAGATAATCAAAGACTGAAATAAATATTATGAGGTGAGATGAGAAATCTGTGTGGTGAAATATATATGTAGGTGATATAAGCAATGAGTAATGAGTTGACATGAGATGTATGATGAGAATGTAGGTGATATAAGCCATGTGTATTGAGTTTGAAATGGAATGTAAGAATGAAATACTTGTAGTATGAAATAAATGTAGAATAAAATAAATGTAGAATGAAGTAATTGATGTATGAAAAGAAGTGGATGATGAGTGAGATGAGATGACAATATCTGGATGAGAAATCAGATGTATGGTATGAAACAGTATATGTAGTCTGAATAAGTGATATCTGAGATGAAATAAATAACATTTACTGAAAGATTATTATCATAGAAAGAAGGTACTGAGGGAAGACTAATTTGTATCTTGAGATATGTGATATGTAGTATGTTGTAGCTATGTAGTACTATATATTATGTAACCAAACTATGTGTAAGAATACTATTTTGTAACCTTCTGAACTGGATACAAAATAAAGGGTTATGTAGCATATGCATATCTGGTTGTAATAACATGAAAACTACTGTAAATAGCTATTTTGTACTATATATGACCTTGATTGATCTCACCACAACCTCCCCCAACTTTATTTGTCTGTCCCCAGACAATACCTCTCTTAAATAAATATTATGTACATTCAGTAATAATCATGTAAGAGAAAAGAATTAGAAATGTGAAGGAGAAACAACAAAGATTAACATAAGTCCAATTGGCCAGTATTGAGCTTCAGGTTTGTTTGAGAATTGATTTTCTTGATTTTCAAATCTTCAGGTCTTGAATTTTAAATTTGAGGTTGATGTTCAGTTGAATTCTTGAAAGTGGAGTTTCTGATAATGAAATTTCTCATAATTTAGTACCAAGGTAAATTTTCTCTATTTCTGTCTTAATAATTTTAATCTGTTTTAGCCCTCTGACTAAAAAAAATCTAATCTGTTCTTAATCTTCTGAAAAAAATCTTTGTAATCTTCTTATTTTTCTGTAAATTTACCTTTAACTAAATTATGTAATTTCTTCTTTTCAATTTTCCATTTCAAAGGCTTCTCCTTTCAATGCTTCTCATGCTTTAATCTTCTTCTTCTGAATCTCTGAGGCCTCGTTTGGCTGTCCATGATCGTCATAAACGATCATGGCAGATATTTCGGGGGATCGAAGCTTATGACGGGGCCTCATGAACGCGTTTGGGAGGACCCATCATAACCACTCACATATGACGAAAGTGGCCAACGAGATATATCTCCCTGCCAAATCCGATATTTTGGGTCCCCCCCAAAATTTTGCGTCATAAGTGACCCTTCATCACTCTCGCCACCCTCTCATTTCGCTTACAACAACTCCATGTCACCCCCCATCTGAACATCACCCCTCTCACCAGTATCATGCCTCCCTGTCCCCTTAAATCACCGTTCCGATGATCCATTCCCAAGGCGCACCAAACAGCCACATCGACATCGATATGGATTTTCAGGCTGCGTCATTTGCACAGCCTGGAAGAGTCAAACCTAGATTCTGATTTGACGATATGCAATGACGGTCTATTACGATCATGGACGGCCAAACGAGGCCTGAGTTTCTTGTTAATCTCTTCCTTTCACAGCCTGTAGTTTCTTACTAAACCGATATGTAGTCATACTTTCATTGAATACTGTTTTTTTTTTCGAATTTACCTGTTGAAAAAAACTATTATCTGGAGTCTTGAATGACAGAGATTTTTACATCGGTTCAGTCGGTGTAGAACATAAAAAGAATAGAACGGAGGCAGATCCTCATCGCCGAATCGGTCCGATTAAAAGAAACCAGAACCCAAGGCCATCGAAAGAAGACTGAAACCCGAGAAGATTCGAGTTGAACCCAACAGCCTGAGCGGGTAGGTTCAATCGGAGTAGAACTTGAAAAAAACTTATGTAAAAGAAAGAATGCGGAATCGCGGATATTGTTTAAGGACCTTGCCGTATTGGTCCGCTGACTGAGCCGTAGAAGACAAACAAATCGGATGAAAATCTGATGACAAACAGATAAAAAAACCTATCGATCGTTAATAATCGATTGTTGTTGTCGCCGCAGAGAAAGACCATCAAGGCGAAAGAAAGGCAAGTAACGGATGTGTTTAAGGACCTCGCCGCATCGGTCCGCCTAGAATGAGTGTACACTGAGACTGAAAACAAATGACTGGTATCGACGGCTTTTAAGGACATCAGCGAGAAAAATTGGTCCATTTTTTTTTTTGTTCAATATTCGATATTCAATCCCATCCTCTCAGAATCTAATATAGCCGGTTTTGCACGCCAATATGACCTGTTCATCATAGTCCATGTGTAGTCCTGGCTGACCTTGAAGGAAAGATCTTGAGAAGTTGAAGGTGAAAATCTGCTCAAGTCACTGCTAGAATCTGGCCTCTGAAAGCGAGACCTTTTGAGGTTCTTTTGATGATGAATCAATCCAAATCCATTTGATTTATAGTTGAAGTTTCTTTCCGAACTGTTTCCACAACTATCTACTGAGAAAACAGCAATCAGGACCTCAAAGACAAAAGCGACTGTTATCTGGCTACTAGGAAGGCCACGATATTTATTAATAACTTCGACATCAATTGTTTCCAGCCAAGAGCGATTGTCCCAAGTCATGAGTAGCTTTAGGAAAAGCAATATTGATAGAGCCAATATCGTATTCAAAGCAGAGTCAATTTTACTGTCTTCAAATGGTTCACAATTTTCATCAAAGATATCTAAGCTGTGTTCTTCATTTTCAAGATCGCCTGGGTCTCTTGCTTGTTGCCTATTTTCTCTAGGATCTGTGTAATCTCTTCTATTCTGGACAAAAACTCTATTTACAGTGTTATGGTTGATTTCAGGAACATGATCTAATAGTTCCGCTTTGATTTCAATCATTGTATAGATCTTGAGTTCAGAACTTTCATCCATTGAAGGAAGTACACATGATAAGAAATCAGGTTCTTGAGGTTCTGCTGGATTGAAATTGTCTAGATCTTCTTTGTTATGCCTATTCACTTTATCAAAGTTGGATTGCTTGAAGTTGGCCGCATATTCTAGTAGTATTTGTTCACTGCGGTTCTCTGGAATATCATTTGCAAGCTGAGATACATAGAAACTAGACGGATTTTCTGCTGATATGTCATTTCCGAAGGGGTTTTCAGGCTGGAAAATGACAGACTCCTCCTCCAACTTGGCTGATGTCCCCATCAGCTGGGCAGAAAAAGATGTGAACGAGATATCTGAGTCCTCCATGTGAAAAAAATTTCTGGCTACTGTATTGGTAGGTGAAAATGTTGAATTGTTATCTTCTATAAAGGTGCTGGTGTTATATTCTTCCTTCTGAGAAAAATCCGCAAGTCCATCAGAGGTTTTGTCTTCATAGCTCAAAGCTACATTGAAATCCTCCATCATTCTCTGAATTATCTTTTCTTCCAATCCAGTGAAATCTGTGGTTAAAATTTCATCAGAAGAGGTCTTGCTAGCTGGTTGATCTTTAGAAAGAAAGTCTTGAGGCTCTGTTTCTTCAGTTATTTCTCCAGGGGGTTTGTTGGTCTGTTGAGTAAAGATAACTTCTGGTTCAGAGGGTGGATTGAAACTAAGAGCTACAGAGGAGTTGTCCAATTCTTCAGTTTCTAGGTCGTTGTCTCCTTCATAAGAGCTTAAAGATGGTACGTAAATTTCTTCAAGTTGTCCAAAAGAGGAGGAGAATTCTATTTCTGTCATAGCAGTCTTCTTGGAGTCTTCTGAAAACTGATCAACTGCTTCTTTGATAGGTCTACTAGTATCCCAGGCAATTGGTGTATCATCAGGTAAAAGATAACTTCTGCCTTCTTTCTTGACTAAGCCTTTGGATTCATCAAAAGAAAATAAATTACATCTGTTGGAACTATGGTTGGGCTGGAAGCAATAATAACATCTGAAGTTTGGGTTTCTGTTGGGAGCTGAAGTTGGGGGGTTGGCCTGCTGAGAGACTGAATCCAAGGGCTTGTGAGGAGGATCCATGTTTCCAGAGGTTAGAGCAGCTAGTTGTTTGGTAAGATCTTGAAGCTGTTTATCATACAAATTTTGGACAGGAGTACTAGGAGTGGTAATTCTTGGTGCCGGTTTGGTCTGAGATGCTGGTAATTTTTCTTAATTCTTTTCTGGACTCCAAAGGTTTTGCCGTTCCATTACACTGTCTGATTGAACTTCTCTTTGAATGTAGGAAATGAGAGTAACAGTGGGAGGTAAGATGTCTCCCCCATCTCTAGATCGTATCATCTTATCATCTCTAATAAGTTCTTTAATTACAGCTGATCCTAATCGGCGACTGAGAGCTTCAAGCAAGAGTTCACGAAATTCTTCAATGCTAGTATTATAACCCATCCTAACTAGATAGTGAGTGACTGCTTCAAATCTAGTCTTGAATACTTGAAATTCACTGAGAGTCTGAATTCCTCCTTTACTGACGGCGGAGCTGACCAAACTTTCTAGATCTTGCTTCGTGTACTTGACGAGTGGTAGCGCCTTTCCAAATCGATCAAGCAACTGTTTCTTCAATTCCTCCCAGTCTGCATCTTCATAGCCGGTCATTTCTTCTACTTCGTCCTTCAAATCAGCATCTTTGACAAAAAAAATGATCTGTTTTGCTAAGTCCCTTGCACTAGCTCCATCGGCCTCTCCAGCGCATTCGTACCGTTTGATAAACTTTTCGATCGCAACATTTGTACCATCAAAGAAAACATCTTTATCCATAGGTTTAATTTTAACCATTCTTGCACCAGTCTCTGGTCCAGTATACTTGGGCAATATGATTTCTTTTTCCAAGAAATGGGGTACAGGAGAATTGTCTGACTTCTGAGATGCTGCGGTATGTCGAATTTGTTGATGATCTGAGGGATGGAGGGCTGAATTTCTGGAAGATTGAACTGACTGGCTTCTGTGTTGTCCATGGTTTGAGGGATATAGATTTAAAGGGACTGGCTGATTTCTGTAAGACATTTCTACTATGTATGCTAAAGGAAAAAAAAAACTAATAGAGTTTCTAGAGAATGCTGATATCTGTACTAAAAATGGTTTAAGGTAAGATTGATGTGGAAAATATCAGGGTAAGAATTTAAAATTTTCTCAGAGGGATATAAATAATAATCTGTTGTAACTGAAGTGAAAGTATACTAATAAAATTCTCTGGTTAATATTATAGGTAGTGGGTTTGTGAAACAGATGAAACAGTAAGACTGAAGTAATAAGGGGTCTAAGACTAAAGGTTTGAAGGAGAATAAAAGCCACTGTTGGGACACCACTTGTGGAACTTTTCAAGCTAAAGAAAAGAGCTTAGAGGGGAAAAGAACAACTACACAGGGGTAAATGTGAGTTGAAGACTTGGATGCTGATGAAGCTGCCCTCTTGTCAAGGCTTGGGAGAGAGTTACACTAAGAATTAAAGAAAAGGTGTGGCTATTTCTGTGGGTAATCTTAGTATGAGATTTATTACTGATGTCTTGTACAAGTCACCTGCTGAGAGATTGAGGATGTGGGGGATTCTGGTAAGGATGAGGATCTGGGGGGTAATGGTTTCTGGGTTCAATTTCTTATCTTCTGGGGGAAAATCAATAATAATTACTTCTGGTAACTACTAGTAAGTGATGTCTGCTAAGTAATTATCTGTTTACTTCTCTAATGCAAGCATGGGGAACAAAGTAAGTGGGAAAGGGTATTCTCTATATACATGTGGGTGGTTCTGATCAGATACTAGTGGTAAGATATCAGCTGATGTAAGAAGATGGTATGAAATAAGTTGTATCTGAAAGACAATTGGTTATGAAATAAATGTGGCTGACAAATGCGTAGTGTGAAATAAACATGTTGAAAAGGAGAAAATATGAAGTAACTTCTGTTTGTGATAAAAATAATATGTAGTGCAAAAAGAAATGAGATAATCAAAGACTGAAATAAATATTCTGAGGTGAGATGAGAAATCTGTGTGGTGAAATATATATGTAGGTGATATAAGCAATGAGTAATGAGTTGACATGAGATGTATGATGAGAATGTAGGTGATATAAGCCATGTGTATTGAGTTTGAAATGGAATGTAAGAATGAAATACTTGTAGTATGAAATAAATGTAGAATGAAGTAATTGATGTATGAAAAGAAGTGGATGATGAGTGAGATGAGATGACAATATCTGGATGAGAAATCAGATGTATGGGATGAAACAGTATATGTAGTCTGAATAAGTGATATCTGAGATGAAATAAATAACATTTACTGAAAGATTATTATCATAGAAAGAAGGTACTGAGGGAAGACTAATTTGTATCTTGAGATATGTGATATGTAGTATGTTGTAGCTATGTAGTACTATATATTATGTAACCAAACTATGTGTAAGAATACTATTTTGTAACCTTCTGAACTGGATACAAGATAATGGCTATGTAGCATATGCATATCTGGTTGTAATAACATGAAAACTACTGTAAATAGCTATTTTGTACTATATATGACCTTGATTGGTCTCACCACACCGCCAGCGGAAGCAACTGATGCTAAACCAATCGTTCGCACCGAGCGCGGCTGGAATCTGGAAGACTTTTGCTCGGACTGGGACCACCTCTCGGATACGGCTCGCTCGACTATAAAGCTTACCCTATCGGTTGACCTATCCATCCGATATCGCAACTTGAAACCAGCAAGTAAATTGTACAATACGATTTGTGAAGCCTACGAAAAGAACACTCGGGCTCGTCGACTTGCCCTCGAGGATGCTTTTTGGACAGCTAAACACGATCCAAATATCCCTATCGCCAAGTGGATAGCTCGTATTCGTAATGCTGCAACCGGTCTGGCCACGGTCAAACTTACTCGAACCCTGTGCCCCTCAACAGTACTTTCACCCGTGATTCAGAGCACTTCTTCTCTTTCCCTTGTAATATTCTGGAACTTATAATCCGTGCCACTTCCACTGATTAATCCCCAGAATATTCAGACACCAGTTAAACCAGTTAACATTTATATTGATACAGTACATGTAACCAACATAAATCTTGTCTAATTTTATTGTTCTTAAGCTTCAGTACTCTTACTCAACTTATCCACAATATTCATAGCCTTGCTGAATATTCCCATCAACAATACCTATCAATCTTCAACTAATTTTGTTAAAGCTTAATAAGTATTGTTAGCCCATTCCCTTTTGGGAATAAACAAACCAATCCCAGGTGAGTCTTAGTACCCTGGATGCCTATTAATACCCTGTAAGTCTTAGTACCCTGGATGCCTATTAATACCCTGTATTGATCCGGATGCACTGTTGATAGCAAGCCTCTCAGTAAAGACCATACTGATAGAGTGAAACCTCCTCTTTACAGGACTGGTATTAATCACCCACTACCTAACACTCACCATGCTCAAACATTTCAGTCAACTCATAGTAACAACCTTTTACTATTCAACACTCAGGTTAGTTACCCAGAGGATGACATAAAGGCTATCTTTTAATCAGACAATGTTTCATGGTATGATGTGTGTAAACTTCCTTGCTCAAATAGGAGAGCTTAAATGTTTCAAGTATGTTAAGGTGCCAAGATTTGTAACATCAACTTTCTGCTGTTTTTTCTGTTTCAAGTTTGATCCATCTCATCTTCCAAGATCTGTTTGATGAACTGATTTTCTTGTATTTTACTGCAGACAAGACCCCCCTCCACCATAGCCAATTCTGTCAACCCCTTGTCCTTGTTGAGGAGCAGCTCCCAATTCAAGTTCTTCTCTGAATTTTCAAAGTCATTCTTGACTCAATTTCACCATCCCAAAACCAGTTCTTTCCCAGAAAATAACATCATTTTTTCTTTGCCTGTCCAAATTGAGATCTATTTTGAATTATTCCCAAAGATATTCCCAACTTTACCTTGTATCTCACATAAAGATGTTTTATCAACTTATGGTGGTTGTCTTGTGTGCTGTTCAAGTTATAATATCACCAAATTCTGGAAATCCATTGGCTGAAGACTTTTCCAAGTTTCATCAAGACAGTCTTAACTGTGATGGTAAATGATCTTCATTTGAACCATGATTTCTAATTGTGATGCTGATTTGCTTTATGTCAGCCACAGAGCACCTTTCACAGTACGTGAAATGTACCTAGTAACTGCAATAATAATAATTAATTGAATACTGGAAAATATTATATATTGTTGTTAAAATAATAAATAAATAAATATGTATTTACATTTAAACTTAATTCATAATTTATATTTAATAATTCTATAATTAACTGTGAAACCCCCTTGAGTATTGTACATATAATATCACTAGGATTTCACAGAAATAACTTTAGAATAAAGTATTAAAACAATGTTTATTCTTATACATTATGTACATATTTTATAAGCCATAAATAATTACATATGTATAAAGAATCAGCTAGTAGAAGCGTGAAATGGATGAGGAATAAGCTATATACATTTATCTGAAGCTTACCCATCCTTGATCACATCATCAGGGCATCAGATTGCATCATAACCCTCTTGGATGGCGTCATCAGGACCCTTTTGTGCTCTAATTCAAAGCTTGCATAATTCAAAGCAGCCTACACGGGAAAGGAGCCCAAATTCTACATGCAAGACTGAATTATGCATGATGGACATGCATTTCTCATGATCACAAGCTTGCATAAGCAGAGTTACACGTATGCAACTAACTCTACAATTGCACAGCCCCTGCACAGTAACTGTAGCCTTTCCAATTACGTGAGAAATAGGCCACAAAACTCAATTATGCATGTATGATCTCATGTCCTAGGACTTTCCACCCATGCATAGCACTGCACAGCTGCAGCTCCCATCCTTACACGAAATTGTAGAGCTGCTAAGAAGCTCCTTAGTGCCCTGAGGGCCTCTCCTCTTCCCCTGAGCCCCCTGTAGAATATTTAAGGAGCTCAGATTCCTACCTTTTCCCCCCAGGAAATTCTAGTAGCATCAAACCAACACTTGTACCGTGTTTATTAGTGATTCAAACCACCAATAACCTTACAAACCAGCTACCTTAGACCTAAATAGATTTACTTTGCTCAGATTCAAGGCATTTCTACTTATCTCTATTGCATAAAGAATTATCCCCCTGGTTAAACAATTCTGGTCCTTAAGTGTACATACACTTATTCATCTGGATTGTTGTTAAAAGACTTATCCCAAGTGAGTTGAAGAAGTCCTCACCTTGGAAGCCTATTAATCCATGCAAGAGGATTGATCCGGATGCCCAATTGAATAATTGGATGAGTCAGCAGTAGAAGTACCATTCCTCACTGACTCCTCCCTGTTTCTTTTACAGGTTGAGGGATTTAACCACGAATAAACCTTCTCAATTACTCTTCTTGTTAACACTCAGAGCACAACCCTTACAGGTTAGTAGCATAGAGGCTGACACTTTACATATCCCTTGCAATACTGTACAGGGAAATTCCCTGGCCCAGATATAGTCACAGTCCAGGATAATTCAGAGAAGAGGTTTTTGAAACAATCTCCAGATGAAATCTTAGAGACAGGCCCATCTTTTCAAATCAGAAATGATAACAATCTATCAAAAAAACCTCCACTCTTTGCTGCTGCAATAGAGAATTTAATGTCTGATTGTGAAAAAGGTCAGCCAATTAGACAAATCCTAGAACAAAATTTCAATTGATAAGAGCCAATATTGATGGGTGGCCTTATTCCAGAACTCAGTGGAAATAAATATTGGGAAGCAACTAAAGGTTAGGCTGATCTCTGCATCTGATGTACTCATATTGATAAGGAGAGTATTTAAGAAGTTAATTATTTTGAAGAACAGAAAAATTCAAATACCTTGATAATGAATCAAAGAATCTGGAAAATCATGCCAAATTTATCTTTCTGAAGCTTGGATCTCCTCTAATAAGTCCAGAGGAAATACCTGAACAACACCTCAAGGATACCAAATCTAAACTGCCCCAAATGGGTTTCACCCAAAACAATTTCATTGAATGGACAGGAAACTCTTCAAGGTTTTTGTGATTCTTTGGTGAACAAAATCAAAGATATTATACTGGATTGTAAATCTGAGGTTGCTGGTTTCAAGGAGAAAGGGAATGATTATGACATTGAGGAAGAGAGGTTTATCTTTCCTTACCTATGGAAATTAATTGACTTATTGTTCAAGAATCACTTCATCAATCAAGAACATTTGGGAAGTATCTTTCAAAAGGAGGAATCCCATTGGCTAGTCAGTCGCTACAATATGGTTTTTCTTGAAAAACATGTGATGAAAATTATCTCCAAAGAGAAACTAAGACCAACTAAGCATTGGTTCTGGACATTGAATTATCATTTTCTCAGTGGTAAGTTGAACATTTTCCAAATTTCAATTCTTCTTAGAAGTTTTGTGCACCAGAAGAAAGATTGACTTTTGCTTCCTTTTTCAAAACAAAAAAATCAACTGATCCATCCTTCAGTGAAGAATGTGATTTGAAGATTGATTTTGATTTCTTGATTGAAGATTTGTTAGAGAGGGGTCAAAAATTGGGACCGTGGGAAGGTCAGAATGAAACATGGAATCAATTCTCTGCACTGTTTTCAAAAGATAGATACAATAAAATTTTGGGAATGCTCAACTCATCAGAAAGAGATCCAATCAACTTGGATTTTAAAATCAATGAAATCAACCCAAAATCAAACATACCTCAAGAATCCATAACTGATGTAAGAAACCTCATCAATCTTCTAAAAGAAGCAATACTTAAAAGATCCTTCTCACTCCAAAGAGATGTTTGTGAATTATTGGACTTGATTAAAAACAGAATTTACCCAGGGATATTGAAAAAAGCAGTTTATCAATTAGAACAAGAATCAATATCTTCTTCCCCCATTTTCAAAAAAATATCACATATTTTCAAGAAAAAACCTGGACACTTAGAAAGAAAACTGAAAGAATTTGAAGATCTGATCAAAGCATTGTTGTTGAAATCCAGGTTGGCTGACTTGAAATACATGGAAGAGGCTTTTGCACAATTTGAACAAATCCAATCATTCCCAAATTATGCCCTGATTTCAAGAAGAAAAAATCTGTTGGTTGAATACAAACATATATCAAAAGCTGCTGAAGAAGCCAACTTCTTATTTTACAAATATTCAAAGAAAGGGGATGCTAATTTCAAAAACTTGGAGAAATTTGGGTTGCATTTTGATCAAATTTATGATATAAAAAGAATCCCAGGTGATTTGGTAACAACATCTGTATATCTTTAGGATGCATTTCACATAGATGAGAGACATAAATAAAATTAAAATAAAAAATTCCCTTGAAATTCATGAACAAGAGAAAACTGAATTGTTTTGGTCCCCCCCCCCCAACAAATTATTATAACATTAGCTCTTTCCATGCATTTTTGGTATTATAGCTTTTACCCACCTTCATTAAAAAACTGAAATGAATTAACAAGAAAATACACTCCAATGTTCATACAAAACAAAGCCGCATCATACAACCACATTCTTTTTTCATCTACTGCATGTGCTTCATAATCAGAACATTCCTACTGGTGTGATGCAGATTTGAAAATGTTTGTCTCACTCTTTCTAGAAATCTAAGCGTCTTTTTGTCTATGTATATCTTGGACTAGGAATGTTCAAAAAGAATGAAGAAAAAATGTTGATGTAGATATACCCACTCTTCCCTCTGAAGAGAGACTCCTAATCTGTCCCTCTTCAGTCTACTTTCCTGGGGTGGTTCAGTAATCATCTACATGCATGAGTTGAATGAACATGGGGCCAAATTTGATTTTCACCAAGCTTGAGCTTGGTTTGGCCCCTCTTTGAAATGATTGACTGAGACAAAGTTGGATGTTTGGTGAGGTGATGTATACATTATAAGCTGTGGAATCATATCTTGTTGCCAACTTGGTAGCTGAGCAGTTAGTGTGCACTGTTTTACCTTTTTGGCCTGTCTATGTCTATATATCAAGAAACCACACTGCTTCCAAACCCCTATGTGTACCTGGATTGGAAGGAGAGTTCTGGGAATCTAGATGTTAGACAGCCATCTGAATTCTCACCTGAAGTCTTCCAAGATCAAAGTGTATCCTAGTGAACATATCCAAAGGATTATTAGTTTTATCTTCAATTGTCTTACTAGGGTGGCTCACATTAGAGGGCAAGTGCTACTGGCTTGCTTGCGAAGTGCTGGTTGCTGGTTTCAGGAATCTACTATCTCACCAGTCAAATTGGCTTGCACTTGTAAGCCCAAACCTTGTCCTACTAAGGGATTCTTATGTGGGCACCCTCAAGGTCTTCACCAAAGTTAATCACCAAGAGGGTATGTACACACACAGTAGTGTTTTATCAGAGTTCATGTTTCATGGTCTGATGTGCAAACACCTTCGTACAGTCAGTACATCCTTGATGCTCAAGGGCAAAAGCTTAACCTTTTTTTAGGTATTCATCAGGATGTATATGCAATCCTTTTTGTTGTTGTTGTTGTTGGGTTAACATTTGAGTCATGTCGACTTGGATCATGATTGACCCTTTACATAAATCCTTAATTACATGGGCCTTGACAGATGGTCCACAAGCCGTCCCGAGCTCTTTTGCCCGCCATTGCTGAAATATAGGATTTGCTTTACTTTATTCTTAATTCAAATTGATTCGAATAAAATCATCGAGGCTTGTAATTTGAGATGCCATCACATGTAAGGCTTTTTACATTATGTATTATATGCTCGATTTTGAGAAGAGATCTCATGAAGAGAGCACAACATCAATTCCAAATTCCAATGATTCCACTGGAGGCATGCATACACATGTTGCTGCTTTGAAATTCCTCAATATGCAGCTTGCTTATCATGAGTTATTTGGGTGAGTTTGCCAGTTTGCGATTGAGGAATTTGTCCATAAGACTCGCTGAGACTGCACAGCCGGAGATAGCTCATACACAAACAACAGAATGATATTGTATGTTGTGATACTCTTTGATAAGGATTTGATATATGGTTATGGTTAGCCGTCGGATGAGATCGTAAGAATTGGTTGATATAACATTAGGGTCGGACCGTCGGTGAGGTAGGCGGGGAAAGTCACAGATAAGCTGGATTCAACACGGCCCGGGCCGGCTGCCCTTTTTTTTCCCTTGCCAGCCATCTCAAGTTCTTGATCTGGGCTTGAGCGTGTACGGATTTAACTGGCCGGGCTGAAATAAGGTGGGGAAGGATGGCTTACTGGGTCAGGGTGCTGTTCCTGAATCCTGAGTCCTGGCTGAGTCAAGTTTGGCGGTGCTTATGTAAGCCCGTCAGCTCAATAATCCCTGCCCCCCTCCGCCCATATAAAACTTACCCTGCCTTCGCCCGTCTTCTCCTTCCCCCCTCCTTCCTTACCATCTTCGATTCTTCCCACTTCCCCTTCCAACCACATCAAACCAACCACCACCACCATAATCAGCACTCACAATATCATTCCAAGATCAGATGATGGAACAAATCACCGACCCTTCAGTCATCAGCTTCATCAACACCGACACCCCAGTCATCATCAGAGCAATCGCCGACTACCTCGACCAACCCATCAGCTCAGGCGACCATCTACTCTCACAACCAAAATCGAAACCACTTCCCACCAACAAATTCCAAGCTCAGTCTAAACCAACCATCGACACTCATGACTATCTTACTCGGTCAGCTACCAAAAAAAAAAAAAAAAATCAAACAAGCTACATCCACCAAAACTAACATCTCATTCAACTCCCTACAGCCTCATCAGCCTCTCCCCACTCTCAATCGATGGCGTCCTACTAGGATTGGTCTACCTGCAACGGATAACACATCTCCAACCACCTCCAACTGCCAACAGCCAATCAGAACATCAAGCACAGCAACAGGATCAGAAACAGCTCATACCCATCAACTCACTCACCATCCATCGACTGATCCTCTCATCCATGATCCTCGGAACCAAGTTCATCTCAGACCGACCCTTAGCCAGGAAACGACTCAGCAAAGTGGCCGGAGTATCCGAACTAGAACTCGACCATCTCGAACGAGAACTCTTGACCAGGCTGGGCTTCAAACTGTGCTGGTCGAACGATGAATTGATTCAACTGACTCGGAAAATCTTAAACGATCCCCTCCACCCATCATCACCAGTCACTCCCTCTCCAACTTCAGAATCATCCACAACATCAGAATCATCAACAATATCCACATCCACTTCAACCACCACCACCACAACAACGGCCACTGCCAAGGCTTCCGTCCATCGAGCCTCATTCTCTACCTCCAACGTCGCTCCAGCCCAGATCAATGCCTTGTTGAAGGAGACATTCCACCAGCAGAGGCCTCGTCTTCGTCAAGTCCCAATTCATCGACTCGAACCTGTTGGCGGAGAAGTACGGGTTCACCAGCGAAATCAGTCGTCGGTCGAGCAGCCGGATGATCGACAATCTGATCGACAACATCAACCCCACCGGCGATGCTGCTGACTCCCCTCCGATCACCAAGCCCAGATCGACCTCCAAAATCCTCGTCACCAGACTCGAACACAACCAGATCAAAATCTGCCATGCTCAGGTCTTCTGATCCTGCCCCCCCCGTCGTTTTGCTTCGCTCTGCCCCTCTGTTCACTTGTACTTTCACCATCATGTCGTCCATCGAACATTTTTTTTCGTCGCTGTGTATCCGTCCGCCAAACACATCTTCACACTCTGTCATCTTTGATTGGCCCTCTTGATCATCAGTCTGATCTTCATTCTCGTCCTCTGTTCGTTTTCTGGGAGATGTGGCTCCCAACTCTCACTCTTCTTCTTCATCCTTGTCATTTCATTTTTTTTTCTTTCTTGACCTTCACCAAATAACAAACTAAGCTAAATTACCATCTTCTTGACCTTTTCTTTCTGTCTTTTGGATGGATTTCTACCTTTCTTGATTTCTTTCTTTTTCTTTCTTTCAACATGAAGTTTTTATTTTGTTTTGTAGCTTCTTGAATCTGTCTCCTTTGCGCTCTGTTTTCTCATTCTGCAGTTCTGAAATATTGATTGATTGATTGATTTTGGTAGCTGTTTGTTTGAGTGGTTAATTAACAGAGGTAGCCCTGGCGTGGGGCTTATTTACAAAAGCAGCTTTCAATCTCCAGTATTTGTTGGATTTCTGGTTGCTGAATGGGTCAATGAGTTTGAGATAGACAACAAGTCCTGGTGGTGGTAACCCATTTCAGACAGACACCCTAGCACTAAAAACAGCTACAAACTTTTCCTCTGAGCATCTCTTTTCTACTTGTTTTTTTTTTTTTATTTTTACAAAACACTTAAGTCATATAAAAGTCAAGATCAACTGACCATTGTTGTTACTAAAAAGATAGAATCACCACAATCTTTGCCAAAATAACAACATTCTCTGCAATTTTGCATGTTTGTTTTTTAGTGGGCTGAGTATGCTCAGTTGAGCTCAATTTTCTTTTCTCCCTGAGGTATAAAAACAAAGCACAATTTTACCACAAAATGACTGTCCAAAGTATTCTTTGAGAGAATGAGAAGCTGATTGGAGGCAAGGATGTTCTAATGAGCTGTGACGTAGCTGCCAAGTCAGTACTTGTGCAGTTTCTGTTTTTTGCCTTTATTGTGCCAACAAGCTTGAATTGGCCAAGCTACCTCATGGGTCCAAGTGCTAGCAACCAAGCATGATGCTCTAACAAGGTCCATTGACTGGAACTTGTTGCTAGTTAAGCTTAATGGTGGGATCTTGCTTCCAAGGATGTAAACTGAACCCCTGCATCTCAGGACCATGTTCATCTACTGCCTAACTCTGGTACCAGTGCTGGTTGCTCAACAGATCTTGAGCCCCTTTGTCAACAATGGGCCAGTTGCACTAACTGTAGCATGAGCACAGCAACAACGGTTCTTGCTGTCAGCAAGACATAGCAAAATTTTGCTAACATTTAGTGTAGCACAGCGGAATTTTACCACCACTCTGCTAACACTATGTGCGCAGGCCACAAGAAAGGGCCCACTACACTGCCCTAAAATGCATTTTAGCAGTTTTTTTTTTGGCTGTTTTTACCGCTAAAATCACTGTAGTGAAGCATAGTGAGTGGAACTAACAGTGCACTAACAGTCACACTACATTGTTGGTGTGCTGCTTTGAAGGCTGATACACTAATCTTAGTGGGGAATTTAGCATAGTGTAGTGTAGTGGCCCATTGCTGACTTTGTCACAAGTTCCCCAGATGACCTGGGGGGGATGTCAAAGACTAGCTTGCCCAACTCTAAGTTCTGTCAAAAACACCCTGTAGGAGAGGCTTTTGTGCAATACCTTGTCTGCTTTCAGGTGCAGAAAAGATTTCCAGGATAAAAGAAGCAAAGGAAACCTGTTTTGAAAATCATCTAGTGAGAGATCAAGACCATTCTGAATATACAAAATTCCAGCCTTGTTATCCAGAAACCAAATCGTTTAATGCCAAAATGAGATTTCAAAATGTGCATTTTTGTGCTCAACCCAAAACACTGTAATCCTGTTTTTACTTTGGCACATCCATCTCTTGATGTGGATTATTTAATTTGAACTAGAATCAAACCTGAAACTTTTATGTTTACCAATCTAGTCCATGTCAGGTTTTGTTGAGGTGAACACTGAGACAGAAAGAGAGCTTGTGTAAGGATGAGGAAATAGAATCCTTCCACAAGCTCAACTTTGCCTCACAGTTTCTACCCTTAAAAATGGGTCTACAGACACAATACATAAGCAAAGAATTAGTTGAAAATCAATGGTGGGACTGGGTCAGAATCAAAACTAAATGAACATTCTAAGGATTTATATCATTGTTTGGTTGAATGCAGGGGTGTCTGGGGGAAGATATATCCAAGAAGTAAAAAGGTGCCTTTCCACATTTAGCTTTTTTGCTCCAGATTGGTACTTGGTTCCTCCCACTGGCACTGGGGGTTGCTTTAATTAGTTAGGGATAACCCAAACCTATGTTTTTGATGAAAATCAAAGGTCCAAAATCCCCAAGTCTGCAGTACAAGACAATCACAGACAGCTACTGAGGTTGAGCTACATTGGATGACTTCCCGTCGCAATCTACAACCCTCCCAGAAGTCAATTCACACCCCTTAGATCTATTTTTTTCATCAAAAAAACATTTTTTCTGAAGCCTTCCAGAAACAGCTCTCATGTGAGCTGGTTGAAATCTTGATTGTGTTGTTAATTTAGGACTGAGGGAGGTCTGAAAAGCATTCTAAATTGTGATGGGAAGTCATCCATTCCAGATCTCTCCTGACTACATCTGAAACCAAACTCAACCCAGAATCTAGTTGGGGTTCACCAGATTGGTCAGGGATGAATCAAAGAATTTGTTCCTTCCAGGTCAGAGGGAAGCTTCCAGCCATACCTCATCACTTAAATAAAAAAGGTCCATTTTAGCAAGGTTTGATGGGAATCTCTCCATTAGGAATAGGTCTATCTTAACACAATCTCCTCACTTCTGAGGTCTGGGGGACCCCAGTGTGCCACAGGAACTGCACAAAGCAAGCCTCCAAACAATGGGGTCCCCCCAGCCCTCAGAAGCAAGAGGATAGGGCCAAATGTTGAAACTCAGCTCTCACCATGGGAAAATTGACAATGTTACTGGATCAGGTTAGCATGTCCTGAAAGAAAAACTTGACATCTATTCCCCAGTCACTTTGACTCTGCCTGCGGAATGGAAGTCATATTTTTGTTCAGGACATTATAAACTGATGAGATAATATGACCCCAATTTGACCAGGGTGTTTTCCCACCTGATGTCATATCTGTTCCAAGTTTCAACTCTTCATCCTTTGCTCTCACCAAGTCTTCCAATTTTCTCTTTCTCCTACCGTGATTATCTCTTGCCCCCTCTACTCTTCACACATCCAGTCAATCAACTCAATATCCTTTGATCTTTGTGTCAATGCACACTATCTGCTCTCCAGAGTTAGTGCTGAAAAATTCTTCATTTTTGGGCTTATAAATGGCCTTTGGTGATGCCATGGTCAATTTTGATTATATGAGAATTGGAGGTACATAAATTGAATTTTCATGCCATATGGTACCGGGCCCAATGTTAAACAGAAAAATTCATAGTGTTAGTGGTATTAATATTATGCAAACACTAACTTTAGTGTAGCTGGCTCACCCTTGCTGAGACTCGTCACTCTTTGATCTTCCTCCTCCTTTGTTTTTCTGTTTGTCAATGTCTCTCTCAGTCTCTTGCCTCTTCATAGTCCCTCAACTCTATCTGCTGTCACTCTCAAAGTGTTAGTTTCATCTTTCTCTAGAGATGGTCAATTCGCATCCGGATATCCGCGCGGATGCGGATATCCGGCTGCTTTTTGCAGCAAAATAACCATCCGCATCCGCATCTGAACCCACTGGCGGGTATCCGTCGGCCACAGCGGGTATCCTCGGATACCCGCCCTTTAAACGGCTGGCAAGGGACCGGCTGGAAGGGTTTCCTTCCAGCCGGCGAGGTACATGTACCTCGTCGACCGGAAGAAACCCAGCCGGCGAGGTACATGCCTCGTCGACTGGAAGGGTTTCCTTCCAGCCGGCAAGGTGCATGTACCTCGTCGACTGGAAGAAACCCCTTCCGGTCGATAAGGTACATGTACCTCGTTGACTTGAAGGATTTCCTTCCAGCCGGCGAGGTACATGCACCTCGCCGGCTGGAAGGAAACCCTTCCAGCCAGCCATCCCCCCTTCTGGCCTTGAGAATCCTTTGGGATACCCGGATACCCGCCCAAATTTCTGGGAAAAGGGCACATCCGAACCCCAATCTGTATCCCCTGGCGGGCATCCGCTGGCGCTGGCGGGTATCCGCCAGGGGATAGCGGGTATCCGCAACGGATACCCCGCGACCATCTCTATCTTTCTACATCTGTTGTTCTCTTTTCTTCTCTGGGTTAATTTTGTTCTTTTTTTTTCATGTTGAGCAGACATTTTGGCTCTTTATTCACATGCAAATAATACAAAGAGGTTCATGTTCTTTTGGAATGATTCCATGATTCAACACAAATACATCATCATCCAAACCTTGTTGAAACTGCTCCTGCTGATTTGCCAAGAAAGTGTTATAGCTTAGGGCAAAGCTCCCCTTTGGATGCAGAATCTTATGGTCAAGCTTACATACTTTTTTTTTTGAGTGAAATTTGGCCAATGGCATTGCTCACTATGAATCTAGGAACAACTAAGCTGGAAATACAAGCTTTTTGGGAAAACACGGCTTTAGAGGGCAAAAGCATACAACAGATACTGGTGTTTAACAAATGGAATAAGAAAATAGAGAAAAAAGAGAGGAGAAAGAGGAAAAAACAGGAGAAAAGGTGGGAACGGAAAAGAGAAAACACGGAATCAGGGCGGGGTGAAATTGAGTTGATGTTGCCTTGGGGCGCCCAAGCTAGGGAAACAGCCGGAAAGCTGGAGAAAATCTGCCACGGGCTGGTCGGCTTTGCGTATTATCATTGCTCTATCCAATTGGTTAGGGTTCAATTTAATTTTTGAGACACAGAGTGCCTTTCAGAGGTCAGCCCGGATGTGCTTGAAGCAAGGGCAGAAGTTAAAAAGATGGCCAACGGTGTCCCTGCCAGGTCAGAAGGGGCATTGGGGATCCAGTTGCCTGTTTATCTGAAAAAGAAAGGATTTGTCAGACGGGGTGATGCCAAGACCAACGGCCTTCTAGCTACACCTGTTGATGGGGAGTTTGGTTAGGTCGTTTGGATGATGGAATGGAGGGGCCCAGGTCTTTGGTTGTTTTTATGATGCCCTCAAGGAAGAAGCTGGATTCGGTCTGTAAGGTCTGGATATGAAACTAGAAGGAAATTCTAGTACTATTCCTGTCCTAATAATTTTTGTTAGTAATTTTATATTAAATTTTAAAGTTTAAAGTGTATTTAAACTTACAAAAAAAGGGGATTGTTGGTTAAACAATCAAAGAAATTATAACCTCACAATATTACTTGTTAAGAGGCCTAGAGTTGAGTTTTAATCAATACTCTGAATTCCAAAGGAGGAATTGAGGAAGGGTGAATTGTTTTTTAGACAATAGATCACAAGGAGTTCGTCCAAAAAGGTCTTTTGGATGAGTTGAGGATTCCTGGGCAAATTCTAGAGCAATACTTCTGCAACAGAAAGTAAGAAAATGGCCAATCTTAAAGGAATAAGGAGCTGGGATCTTTTAAGGGCAAAGGCTACAGGTTAAGGCTGAAGGTAGCAGTAAAAGAGGAGCTCTTTTTCGTGGTTGGAATGCTAAGGTTGATAAGAGAAATGGTTGGAAATGCTGGCTTCAAGTATATAGTAGTATATATGGTGAAGTGGGTGAATTTCTGAGGTTTAAGCACTCAATAAAGGAGTCCTTATATAGCCACACACCTGAGGGTGGCTTGCAGTGCATTTTTGCACGATGACACTGATGCTTTGGGCTTGTTTGGCTGGGTGTAAGCCATGCCCAAGGCCTTGGTTATCAGTATCCCAAAGGCTGAAACAGTTGTAACTGTAACCACGGGTACAGCTACCCAGTCAGGAAGTAATGATGCAATGCCAAGTTATTGCTAGGGTTCTATATGCCCAAAGGAGACTTTTTGTTTCGTCTCCAATCCATTTTGGAGGGATTTGGTTGAGGTATTCTGATATGTACTGGCTCAGAACAGGTTAAACTACTTGGGCCAGATTGAAATGGGCCAATTCTCAACCCTGTTGATTTCAAACTGGACCAGGGTTGTTCTGGTGGATGGCTGATGTAAGAGGATATTCTGAGTTTGCTCAGAAAGGTTATTAAGGTTAGGGATAAACAAAACAGGTTACATGACCAAGTGGCTGGTCAGGGTTCAGAATATGTGGTCTAAACTGGTTACTTGGTTGTAGTTGCTGAGCTACAAGGTTGTACATGTTGCACAAGCCTTGAAACCTTGTTTATCTTGAGTTCGCATCCAATGAACTTTGTTTATGTCATCAGCTGATTTGGTTCTGTAACTTTAAATGTCTGTAACTCTTTAGTTATTGATTATTTTACAGAATTCTTTGTTTTTTCAGTATGTAGTTACACAGTGGTATGTAACTACATGAATTTTGTTTTTATTTTCTAAGTAAAGTAAAAAAAGTTTATTTTTATTTTTAAAGGCCTTTGTGGTCATTTGCAGGCTTTTGACCATATACACTTTTATATATAGATTTTTATGCTTAATATTAATTTATTATTTATAATATTTTTTCTTGGGCTGGTCTTGAGACTTGACCATGAGTTGTAATTGTTATTTTTATTATTTTATGTTTTGAGGCCTATGGGTATGTATATACCTCAAGGCTGACACGGTCGCTGATATATAGCGGGACCTTATGCAGCTTAACGACAGGTCCTAGCAATATCTAGGGGTGGTAGTCTGCACGTGGATAGAGGTGGAAGACGGAGGTAAACGACTCGGAGGAGGGGACTCACTAAGTGTTGGGTAGTCCTCAGTATCAGTCAGCCGTCTTATTCCTCGGTACTCGAGTACTAATCCAGACAGTATCCTTGGCTTGTTATAACGGTACGACGACAACGGTTATAGTGGGTAGGCTTTTTTAAGGAGTCTGTTTAGGAGTGGAAGTTGTTTAGAAGTTAGTTTACGGTTTGAACGGGTTCTTGAATTATAATAATGAAAAAGGTTGAATTCTTGATGATCTCTCCTCTTCTGCTCTGACCTGTCCTGGCTTTTATATCCATCGGGTCCGTTGTGGATGGCGTATGGGAGTCGAGTTCTTGTTCCGAGGCCCGAAGCGGTTGTGTCTGCTTGGTCATGAGGTCATGAAGGCCGATGCCAATCCAGGTGTTCCCTTAGAGTGTGACATCTTGTGAAACTGGGTGTCACACCTCAAGGACTCGCGCTGGAGATGACGCATGGGCGTAGTACAGTACTGCGATTGCTGCGGAGTCTCCCGCACGTGCTCCTGAGGTCATTTTAACAATTGATTCTGGTTTTTTTATTCAATTATGACTTTTAAATGGAATTAATATTTATTTACCCATATATATATAAAATAAGATTAATAAAAATCATTACAACAGGTCAGATTGTCCTGCTTTATCAGTGACAAGCTGACAGGATTTCAGTGAGCAATGTCCTGAGCAGAGTTGATTCAGAATAGAAGCGGAAGCAAAGGGTAAGGAGGAGGGGTCAGCGCATTTGGTCAATAAATCAGCCAAGAAAAGCTGAGCGGTTTTCCGGAGATTGCTCTTAATCTTGAAGACTGGGGAGGTAGGGTGCAGGACCGCCTCCTTTGCCAATTCATCAGCCACCTCGTTACCAGGGATGTCCCTGTGTCCCGGGCACCAAGCCATGGAGACCTCCACCGCCGGGGGCAGAGCAGAGAGGGCATCATCAATCATCTTGAAGAGTGATTGACCCGGCTTGGGGGATGCCGGGTTCATGGTTCTCAAGATCACCCCTTTGTTGTTGACAAAGAAAAAGATCCTTCTGATTCTCCGGTCGCGGAATAAAGTAGTGGCCATCCTGGAAGCTGCAAGTAACCCTTCTGCTTCAGCCTGATGGTTGGAGATGACATAGTCATTGCCCAGGGAAAGGGTGCAGTAGGAGTTTAACTTGGGGCAAAAGGCTGCCCCCGCTCCTCCTTTATCTGGGTAAAAAGATCCGTCACTGAAGATTTAAATGACATCCGTCTGGGAGGCGTGATCTGAAAGCGAGGATTTGACAGCCTCAATAGCTTTGGTTTTTGACAGGTCCAAATTGAGGAAACTCCGGACGTTGATGTGGGGGGGCTTGAACTCAAAAGAAAGATGGATCAGTTCAGGGTCACAGCCCAGGGCGGCTTCCAACCTATCATAGGACAGCCCCATGCGTGCAGAGTCCGCGAGTCTGCTTCTTGGTTCCACCCTGCTGGACAGGATAAGTCGTCGGACCATATTGCTGGTCTTGATTGTTGTGATCTTCCGGAATAAAAAGGAGAAACTGGACTTGATGATGTTGTGGATGATTGGTTGGGTGGATGACCTGGACCGGATGAACTGGTTTGAGGTGGACTTGAAAACTCCTAAGGAACAAATTCCAGTCAAACGATCAGCTTTGGATGCTAGGGAAGCTACCTTCCTTTGGTTTGATTTGGTGGCCCAGATTGAAGCGCAATAAATTAACCTAGGAGTGAGAACACTGCTGATCAATTTAGCACGTGCTGCTTCCCTGGCCCCCCTGCTTGAGTTGCCAAAGATCTTCAATTGAGTTGCAGTTCTTGTGGCCTTGTCCTCTAGTGCTTTGAAATCGCGCGCAAAAGAAATTTTGGGGTGCAAGAAGACTCCCAACCACTTCACCTTGGATACCGCTTTCAGGATTGAGGACCCAAATACAAAGGAGTCATTGGGGGGCTTGTCCCGGGAAAACCACATATATTGGGCCTTTGCCTGGTCAAAGATGGCACCATGGGATTTGCCCCAATGGAGAGATTGTGCACCATCCTGGCTTAGGGATTCCTTAGCCTCTGTATAAGAGTGAGCCGCCACAAGATGGACCACATTGTCAACATAACCTATAGAGATCCTGTTGTGAGCAACGGAGAGTTCTTTGTTCAGCAGGGTATTATTATATAGGATATAGCGAATAACGGAGAGAGGGGAGCCTTGAGGAAGGCCAATCTCTAAGCAATGAGGGAGTGAAACAAAGTCTTCTAGTTTGATTGTTGTCGAGCGATCCCGGAGGAAATCTGCAATAATCAGCGTAAGGTAAGTAGGACATTTTTGTTGAAATAAGTAATGGATTAGCTTTCTGGGGTGTACTGAAGGGTAAGCCAACTTGACATCCAAGAACAAGCCAGATACCACCTTCCCCTCTCTCCACTTAGCCTTTATCCAATGCTCTAAGGTATATGGGGCTTGATAAACGCACACCAGCCCCCCTGGTGCACGCCAATCTACAGAGTGTAGACCGGAGTGCAGGCCTGAACGCCAAGGATTCCTAAACGCATATGTATACATATGCTTTTAGGATTGCCGCCGTCCCATAGGACCCAGGCATGGGTCCTATGGGACGGCGGCAATCCTAAAAGCATATGTATACATATGCGTTTAGGAATCCTTTGGCGTTCAGGGCCTGCACTCCGGGTCTACACTCTGTAGATTGGGCGTGCACAGGGGGGCTGGTGTGCGTTTATCAAGCCCCATATACCTTAGAGCATTGGACAAAGGGTTTAACCCAGTTTTATAAGGGGTCTAAAGGTTGATTTGAGAGTGAGAGAGTGACTCTAGCTGATACTTCAATGGCAAGGGGATGGTATGTAATGGTATGTAAGGGTTTGTAAGGGTAGGGGGTATGAAATAGGTGGATACCAAACTGAGGGGAAAACAACTGAGAGGAGAGCCTCTTAAATACACAAAGTTGAGGGATTTTGGATTCTGGGGAACAAGAGAATGAGAGATTTTAGCTGGCCAGAGCTTTACAATGAGGGGATTTAGCTAGTCAGAACATGTACATGAGGTATTTTGGCTGGTTGAGCAACCTACATGATATCATAAGAGTTATTTTAGCTTGAACTAGAAGTCTACATGAGGGTTTTATGCTGGTGTAGCATTTTACATGAGGTGATGTACTAGTCTGCAAGCTAAGGTGAGGTGATGAATATTACATGAGTGGTGTGAGATAGTCTGACATAAAGATGGCACTTGGGAACCGGGTACCCGCCACGGGTACGGGTACTTGTCCCTTTTTTGGCCCAAAATGGATACCGGATACCACACCTGTACCGCCTGGGCAGGTAGCGGCGGTACTTGGCGGGTATACTGGCGGTACTTGCACTCAGAAAAGTGCTGTTTTAATGATTTTGATAATTTAATTTCATTGGGGTTCAAAGACCCCGCACCTCAGTCATCATCCAAATGTATTACAGTTGCTTTCTTCTTCCCCTTTGACTTTTGCTTCTTCTCCTCCTGTATTCCCTCCTTCCACTTGGACAAAACTCCTTCTTTGATCAGACCGTTCTTCGAATAGAAAGCCACCGTCATCCCCCTGCTCAACGACCGAGCCGATAGCCTGTGCCTCTTGGTCGAGACATAATCACGGCCAAAACTAAAGGCCCGTTCAACATCAACCGATGTTGCTGCATATTTGTACCGCCTGGGCGGGTAACGGCGGTACTTGGCGGGTATACTGGCGGTACTTGCACTCAGAAAAGTGCTGTTTTAATGATTTTGATAATTTAATTTCATTGGGGTTCAAAGACCCCGCACCTCAGTCATCATCCAAATGTATTACAGTTGCTTTCTTCTTCCCCTTTGACTTTTGCTTCTTCTCCTCCTGTATTCCCTTCTTTCACTTGGACAAAACTCCTTCTTTGATCAGACCGTTCTTCGAATAGAAAGCCACCGTCATCCCCCTGCTCAACGACCGAGCCGATAGCCTGTGCCTCTTGGTCGAGACATAATCACGGCCAAAACTAAAGGCCCGTTCAACATCAACCGATGTTGCTTAGAGTCAGTGTGTGCCAATAGAAGGGTGATTGAGTGGAATCAAAACTCACCAGGACAGCTAAGGACATCCAGCGCCATATTTACCAGGCCTCCGTGGGTGTTTCCAGCTCGCTTTTGTTGGATCCACCATTTTAACGGATTGATTGGTTCGTTGTTGTCCAAGATAAGTCCCCCGCCAGCCACACCTCCAAAGGGTCTGAGGAGCAATGACCACCTCTGGCAGCAGCCGCGCTGCCAAGGCCAGCTAGCATGCTAGTCTTGGCCTTTGTAGAGATAGATGTCAGTGTCAAATCACTGTTGAATTGATTAGAGTAAACAATTTACCTTAGAGCTTGTAGTAGCTGATGATGAGTTCATCGGAGCTGATGCTTGAGGCTTATAAAATGTCAACCACATCTCCCGAGTAAGCCTTATAGCCTCGGAAATCCACTCTGGTTCCCACTGGGCTAGCTTGAAATATTCATCCCTAAATGATGGGTGGAGAACTGAAGAAACTCTATGCATTAGTACAATCAAAGATTGAATTAGCAGCCAAAAAAGAATGTACCGATGGCTATCCTATAAAGGGGTGAGCAGTCTGTTAAGCTGTAGTACTTATTGGTTATCTTTAAACCTATCCGACAGGCATTTTTCAGAGCTGGTGGGTACTCAGAGCCACTGATCACTGTTGACAAATGCTCAGTGATTTGATCAATGAAGACAACAATGTTAGCAAGGCGAGCCGAGCCCGATATCGATAATTGAAGAGTGATCTCGTAGAATATGTTGAGAAGGTTGGCCAAATCTCGTGCCAATGCAAAGTCTGACTCGTCCAAGTAGTGTTTCCTCTCAATCCCATGCCGTTTGTGACGTTGCCACACAAGGCTGGGATTCAGATAACCAACCAGGCTGTGAGTAAGGGGCAAAGTAGAGAGATGAAGCAGGATCACTTACATGGCCGCCTCACATCGGACAATACTGTTCACTTGGGTGTGGGTTGAATTCCATCGAGTTCGTACGTCTCGTTTGACATTATGAGGTGTAAGAGTTCCCTTTTCGCGACATATCTCAACAAATTCGGCTTTGGAGTTGGGGGAATACTTCAATTTCTTGGCGATTGCGCGGAACTGGGGATTGAAAAAATGATCAGTTACAATTCAGTTGGTCAAGAGATTGGTGCTTACTTTAGCCAAACTTGTTTTGCAAGTTTTGGTGGTATAACGATTGTCTTCCCCCTCATTGCTAGCCTGTTCGATATCATCAAGGTCAAGTGATTCCAAGTCTTCTCGATCTTCTTGCTCCAGACTTTCAGCCTCACTTGATTGGTCTCCTTCACTGGAAGAGTCTTCAATATCTTGGGTGGAGCTAGATGAGATGAGTAGATGAATAAGGTGGCCTTTCAACAGATAATTTAAGATTACATGAATATCAACGGTTCCTTACGTTACAACGTTGTCTGCAGTGGAATCGTGGTCTGAATCCGAGTAATCAGAGGCATTTGCAGGTGTTTCTGGCTGTTTATTGGAATCCTTTGCTTGCTTCTGAGTTCCAAACGGTCGGAGAATCCCTTGAACAATTAAGTTGAGGACGTGTGCAAAACATTGTAGCCACTGTTGCTTGCCTTTAAAGCGGGCCCACTTCTGCTTCTTCAGCTCACTTACCATGACCTTGTTATTTGAGGCATTGTCGCTGACAATGCCACATATCTAGTGAAGGAAAGTAGATTGGTTGGTCAGCACCGGTTTGTGATAAAGAAACAAAGCAATAAAAAATACCTTATGCTGAATATTGAACTTCTCCACAACAGCGGCAACTGTCTCCGCTAAGTACTTCCCAGTATGGCTTTGAGAAAGTCGAATAAAGTCTAGAGGCATAGCCTCTAGCTTTATATCCCCAGGGCTGCTATCAACTAGTCGATATATGACTATTGCAAGGATATCAAATCCATTTGGTGATTGCCAAGCATCCACACCTAGATACAAGGCACCTTTATGTTCCTATAAATGGGGGAAAATTACAAAAACAAAGTATTGATCAGTAAATCAATACTTTCATTAGTCATCTGAGCCATCCCCACCGCAAGATCCCTCTTGTAGCCCTGTTGTATTGCTAGTTGGTGGATGTCCTTCGAAACCATGTGTCTTGTCGGTAAATTCTTGATGACAGTAGGGTGAAGGATGGCCTGATGGCTGGATTCAACTAGGGCGGAAAATGGCCTGGCCGACTCGGCACACCATATAGCACAGAGTTGCGGAACCTAGAAACAATCAAATTTACCTATAGCTTCCAAATTTCTAACTGAATCTTTGCTTACCTCTTTGGGGTCGATGTCGCCAGTCCCTTTAATCCCGACCAATGCAAGAGTCTGATTGGTATCTGATTGGTTTTGTTTCCGGATGCACCCCGTACGGTGCTTGTTCAGGTTGCCGCAAGAGGAGTCCGAGGTTGGGCGGTTGATCTTGATCCCACACCTGAACCTGATTGTCAGATTTGAATCCATGTGCACTGAGTGAAGAATGAGATCGAGGCTCACATTTTGCAGGGATAAGCAATCATGAATCGGTTTTTCTTATCACGCTGTGTTGAGAGTTCAGGGGTCAAGTAGAATGCGTAGCAGGGACTCTGGGCGGCGGCAGCGACTTTCTGGGCCTTCTCTGGAAGCAATGGGATAGTAAAAACAGGAAAAATGCTTCAGAAAAATGATTGAAGCTCATGACAACAAGATTGGAAATAACTCACTTAACTCCTCCTCGTCAGTTGTTTCAATTGGTGCTGTAGATGTTGGCTGATCATTGTCTTCACCTTTGGTTTGATGTTCCTGGGTAGATGTACCATTGCCATGTTGTTGTCCGGTCTCAGATTGATTTTCCTGGGTAGAAGTAGTATTACGCTGTTGTGATTGGCTTCAAGAGGGTGAGGGGCTTGATGGGTGTGATGAGTTTGGTTTCTTTCGCTTGCGGGTGGATGATGCCATGGTGGATGGATGGTTGGATGATGATGATCTCCTAGAGGATATGGCTGAAGAGTAGCTTGATCGTGCTTGACACGTGGCCTACCCCCAAACCCCCAAGAAGAATAGGGGGTGGAGACAGGTACACCCGTGCGGTACCCAGGTAGCCCAATTTTTTTGGCCCAAAGTGGATACCGGATTCCACACCTGTACCGCCTGACGTGTATTTGGCGGGTATGAGCGGTACCCGCCAACGGGTACCTAGTACCCGCAGGCGGGTACCCGAATGCCATCTTTAGTCTGACAGCTGCAAGGAAGATTAACAAATGACATGACAACCTGCATGATGTCACTTGTAAATCCAGAGTGGTACCAGACCAACACTGCATGTGTCAACTGTCAGAAGATAGTGGAGTGGTGTGTATACATGTACTATTATGGTGTGAGAGTGTATGTAGTTGTCCTGCAATGTACATATCTATAGTGTGAGTTATGTAATTTGTTGGTGTTGTTGAGTGTTGAAGTGTTGCCATGGTGGTGAGTTGTGTAATTGAGTGTAGTGATGGTCCAGAGGGTGTAGCTTCCAATCCAGTTGAGTTCCAGTGATGCCTCCAGTGGCGACCAAGGGTGAAATTGACCATAGAATCCAGTTCTTGAGCCATAATGGTTGATTTGTGAGTGAATATATGAGAAAAAAGGTGTAAAAAGTATGTAATTTGTAATAAAAGAAAAAAACTGTAAAATTTTTAAATGGGCCAGATGGCTACCCTTGTATACCACCTCGGTAAGCAACAATAACGCAAACCACCCTCCCACAAAAAAAAAGCTCTGACACAATACGTTCAACCATGATAGACACAGACGTTGTGGGGCATCAAGAGCCACAAATCATCAAAATCCCCAATCCGGCAATCATGAAGGCAAAAGCCCGAGACATGTTACTCCTCAAAGCCATGAAAGCACAAGAAGAGGGAGACAAAGAAAAGGCCGACCGTTTCTTTGCCATGCACGATTCGCTCCTGAAGGAGAGCGCAACCGTCATAGCCCAGAATGCGAACAAGATCCAAGTGAGGAAAAGCGCCCAGGTGGTCCCCCAGAAGAGGCCTTCACCAGCCGGGGGCACCACCGAATCTAGAGGAATCAAATTCATCTGGAGCAACTCTAACTCGCACAACAAAGGAGGATTCACCCCCTACTTTCATAAGAACATCTGCGAGCTCAAAGGCCCAATCCCGCTCACGATATTTAATTGGAAATAGCAGGAAGAGGCTCTCAGCTACCATTCAAGGAACCGCCCCAAGACTGATGAAACGGCCGCAGAGAAAGGTCTTTGATACCACGGCCTCAAAGTCCCAGACGAGTGGCTACAGTCCCTTGCAGACTGGACACTCAACCACAGGTGTTTCTACGAAACGATAAAAGATCAGTACAACTTCCCCGTTCTAGCGGAGTGGATCCTTCTCCACAAAGAGAACTGCGACAAACTACAGTGTAAACACGGATTCATGGTGGCACTCCGCTACGACATTAGGATCCGGAATAACACATTCGCCTTCTGAGTCGAGAAGGATGGCAAAGAATCATTCTCTAACATATCTGAATACAAACCAGATACAGCAGACAACGCTCACGCTGAGTCAAGGGACCTCAACAAACTTGGTGTTCGGGACAACCCATATGCGATCGGTGGAGCCAAATTTGGATACGACCCTCACTCAGGTCTACGAATCTCAAAGGCACCAACACAAGGCACTTTGTCGGTGAAGGCACAACAACAGCCAACAGCCAACCACCAGCCCATACCCCAGCAAATGGCACCATCAAACTCCCTCCCTCAGAGACCTTCCAATGGGGACCAAGGCACAAACCAAAACACGAGGAGCTCTGGGTACAAAGGAAAGAACTTTAACCCAAATTATAGCAACAACAACCTTAAAAGACGCGAATAGTAAGTACCCCTTCTCAATCACCTTATCCTTCCCTCCTCAACCATCCCTCATTCTTACCATACTCCACCTCCCTAGACCCAGAAGTGGAATCGGCAACAGCAGGTCACATATCATAGACATTCCCAAAGAAGCTATACTTACCTCATCACAAAACCTATCATACTTTCTCTCCCTCCCATAACCCTTCCCACAAACCTTCCTCCTGATTCCATTCCTCATCTAATTTCTTGTATCCCAACAACCTTGTAATTAATTCATATGAAAGTAATGAACAAGGTCAAATAAAACTAAGTTCCCAAAGAGCGATGTGGAGTCCTAACATAAGACTATTTAATCATCCAAACAGTAACAAGCTGGAAGCCAATGATGAACTGTTCCATCTTGCACATGAAGAACCAGAACATCCCAGCGCAGAGAAATCTGCCATCTGGCCGGAGGAGATCAGATGTGAGATGAATATAGACAAGTGGGAGCGGGCCCTGCAAAAAGCAGGCTTGACGGTGTGGTAGCTGAATGTGTAAAAATTCAAAGTTTTTTATTATTTCTTTTTTTCATTCTTTTCTTTATCATTTTTTCTTATACTTCCTCTCAAATAAAACTCATTTGGACTCAAGCAATGGATTCTACGGAGAATTTCACCCTGGGTCACCACTGGAGGCGTCACTGGAACTCAACAGGATTGGAACCTACACCCTCTGGATATGTACAACACTCAATTACACTCAATCAACCACACAGAACAACTACACAACACAAATTTGACAAACACTTCAATACAGGATACAGGTAAACAGATGACATCATAATCTTATGTCATGTGTACAGCTTACACAGCTTGTCAGGTCATGTGTACAGCTCATGTGCACAGCTTGACAGTTCATGTGATAATCTTCCTGCAGCTGAGCTCATGCAGTCTGTATGACATCATTCAGATTGCTAGGCTAGCACAAACCCCTCATCTACACTGCCTCTTCTATCTTAAATATCTCAAATTACATCATGTAGGTTGCTCAACCAGCCAAAATACCTCATGTACATGTTCTGACTAGCTAAATCCCCTCATTGTAAAGCTCTGGCCAGCTAAAATCTCTCATTCTCTTGTTCCCCTGAAGCTAAAATCCCTCACCTTTGTGTATTTAAGGAGGCTCTCCTCCCAGTTGTTTTTCCCCTCAGTTTAGTACCCACACATCACATACCCCCTACCATTACATACCATACCATTACCATTACATACTGTAACAACCTTTATAACACCCAATAACAACCCTTACACTTGTAGTACACACTAAACTCACTCTCATACTCTCATAAACTCAATTCTTACATCATTAAACTGTGATCAAACAAAGAAATCTCGAACCAACCATCCCTATCACTTGATTAAAACTTGCCAAGCTAAGCTTGGTGGGTCTTGTTATCTGATAGTAAAGAAGGGCAGAGTTTGCAACTCCACCATACCCTTCTCCATTCAGCAAAAGGGTTCTCACAACCACTTTTGAGTCTTACAACGGAGAGATACTCAGACATGATTCATGGCTTCAGACACGGTTTCAACCAAGGCATCCCAAATCACAACTTAGGACCCTCAATCCCTTACTTCACCCCACCCAACCACCAATCCACTCTACTAGCACAAGAAAAAATAGAATCCTCAATTACAAAAGAGATAGAAGCCGGAAGGATCTACGGTCCCAACACGCACACCCAACTCATGGAAAAGTACAAATTCTTCAGATCCAACCCACTAGGAGCAGTAGTAAATGGAGACGGATCATTCAGACCTATAAATGACCTTTTCTTCCCCCACAACAACCTGCAGCTTCCCTCTGTGAATTCATTCGTAGACAAACTCGACTATGCTACAACATGGGACGACTTCGAAAAAGTGTCCAAATTCCTTTGCAATCAGACACAGCCAATACTCCTTGCCCTTTTTGACTGGGAGAAAGCTTACCGGCAAATCTCCACAGCAAAATCACAATGGGCCTACCTAATGGTTAGGGACTTCAACGGCAGTATACTGATAGACACGAGGAATGCCTTTGATGGAGTCGCGGGATGCTGTCTATGATAGTCAGGGTCAGACGATGCATGGAAAGAGCTTATGCTCCTACGAATTCGACCTAGTGACTGTCTTCAAGGTGGGTTGACTATAACTTATTCGTGAAGCACCGAGACTTCAATGTAGATATGGAACAAATAGTGTCCAGGTTCCAAGAAC